ACTATAACTAGCTAGCTATAATATCTAATTATAATAGCTATATAAAGCATATTCCTAACTTTTTTTTAATAGCTCTTTATTTCCTCTTTTATTACTTATTCCTTATTTAGTTTAAACTCTTTTTAAAAAAAAAGGGTAGTTAGATATAATAAATTTATAAAATCGAAACGCTTAGTAACTTACTTAATATATACGTTATAAATAAAGTAAATTTTATAAGTAATACGGTTTTATAAAATCTATACTCTAAGAAAGTAATTAATTAGTCTATTCTTTTTAAAGTTAATATATTTTTTTATATTATTAACGATCCCCTAAGCCGCTTTTTAGTTATTTTAATAGTATAAAATAATAAAATTATTAATATAAAATATTAATATTACTTTCTTATTTATAATTTAATAAATATAGATCTCCTCGTAGCTATATATTATATTTATATTACGAAGTATAGAAGTAAAAGTTTAGAACTAGAGAATTAGTAAGTCTTAGAGGCTATATAGAGCGTATTAGAGCTTATTTACTTTATTAATAACCTTATATCCCTCTAAAAGTTTAATAATTACTAGCTTCTCGCTCTTAAAAAGCATATTAAAGAATACGTTAATAATATTATATTAATCTATTTTAAGGTCGAATTAAGTAGCTATTATTATTATAAGCTTAAAGGCCTTTATAATAAGCGTTAAAATATACGTATTTTATAAGGGGTTAAGTAGTTATATATCCCCCCTTATATATATACGTACCTTTACCTCGCTAACCTCGTTATTAATATTATATTTATAAATATATACTTATTTTAATAAAAATAAGATCCCTTATTTAAAATTATAGTTAACCTCTTCTTATATACTAATATCCCTTAACTTTTTTATTTTTATATTTATAATATCCTTAAGTAGCTTTTATAATTATAATAAGAAATATTTAATATTACTAAACTTTTTTAATAAGCTCTAAAAATTAACTTTAATAAGTCGTAGTTTTTAAACTCCTTTAGAGCGCTCTAAATAGGTCTTATAAACTACTCCTTTTACTACTTAATAAAGTATTATATATCTTATATTACTTTTTTCTATAGCTTTTTACTAATTAAGTATAAAAATAAAAAAAAAGTAGTCTTAGAAATAGTTATAATAATTACCGTTTCCTATATTTAAATATAAAAACGTTATAAAAATACTATTATTAAAGCGTTATAAAGGTTTATAGGCCCGGTTTAAATATTTAGGACTTAATAAAGCTTTACTTAGTACTTAATAAAGTAGTTCTTATAAGCTCTATTCTTATATAATAATAGAGGTTTATTATAAAGGTTCCTTATTAACGTTAATTTTAATATTAGGAATTATTTTTTTATAATTAATACCTCGTTTATTACGTATTTTAATATTTTATTAAGAGCTATTAAAAATTAAAAGCTCGAGAACTTCCGTAATATATATAAGCGCTTATAAAAAGGATTATAAACTACGTAGAGCCGTTTATAACTTAGTTATTATATCCCCTTTTTTACCCCTATCCCTAAGCTTATATAAAGGGGTTATTTTAAGAATTAATAATAATAATAAGACTATATTAGCCTCTTTAACCTTATTAACCGCACCCTAAAATATATTTATTAATTACTTAGTATTTTAAATAGTTAAAAATCCAATAGTAATACTATTTTTAATTATAAAGTTATTTTAAATACTAATATTTTTAAAATCTAAATTTACTTCCCTAAGTACTTAAACTAACTTATTATTAATATTAAAAAGTTCTTATATCTCTTAAATTACTAAATTTACTTATTTATTTATAATAGCTTACTCCTCGTATATAGGATTATAAAAAACTTCTTTATTAAACTTAATATTTTTTATAATAAATACTTACTCGAGCGCGGGTACTTAGACCCTATATAAGTTATATATTTTTAGTATATATTTAATTAAGTATCCTATATACCCGCGGGGAAGTACTTTAAACTCTTTTTAACGTATACCCTTTTTACGATTTTTATAAAAAGGGTATATTTAATAACTATATATATAAAAACTACCGAAATACGGAGTAACTAGTTTAAAATCCCGTACTTAATAACCTATCTATTATTAATATTAATACTACTTTTATTAATTAATTTCTATTATAATAAATAAATCTCTTTTATTAACCTCCCGTAGGGTAATATTATAAATAAAAATTATTACTAATACTATTTTATTTTATAAATTCGTAAAGAGGTTTATAAAAAGGCATATTTTACGAATTTTAATAATTATAAATTAATCTACTCTTTTAGTATTATTTATAAGTTCCTTTATATATAAAAATAAAAGTTTTATTCCGATTCTTAGCTCGCTATACTACGTCTTATATACGTATTTAATATTTATAATTAAGAGAGTAGTCTTATTATTATTTTTAAAAAAGTAAATTAGGGTCCCTTTTTAATAACGAATTACTACCTCGAGGCTTTATAATATAAAAAGCACTTCTTTTTCTATTTTAGTCTTTAAAAAGAACCTCCTAAGCTACTTATTATATTTATTAAAAACTATAAGTATATATTATTGTTTATTAAAAAATAGTTTAAAATAAAAGAGATCTTAGTATATATAGTATTATAATTATAAAACTTTTTTCGAGGGTAGCCCTCTTAAAATTACTATTTTAGTTTTAAATAATATATATATTTTATACTTAATTTATAATAAAAGTTTAATACGCATACTTCGAGTCTTATATAATAATTAATAAAGAGTATTAAGTCTAAAATAACTTATTTTAAAGTACTAAAAGAGCGTACTATTAAACCTCTTATAAGTACGTTAATATAAATAATAGAATTTTTTATAGCTAACTAGTAGTATAATACTAGCTAAGCTTTATAAAATATACTTAAGGTTTATAAAAAAAAGATAGGATTAAAAGAGCTTATATTTAAAAAAAAACTAAATTATTTTTTTAAATAAGCTACTTTTTAATAATACTCTTATAAAGCGTTCCCTATTATAAAATATAATCTAAACCGTAGTACTAAAGTACGCTTCTATTTAATAAAATCTTTAAAACTATATTAATATAAAATCCCTTAATATAAATAATGTTTTAAAACTTTAGATTATAAGTTTTTTTTTTTTTAAGTCCGTTTAAAACGCCCTTTATAATATAAATACTACGTATAGTAATAAGTAATATAGTAGTTCTTAATTTAATATAGTTTTTATTACTTAATAATACGCAACTCTTAAGTTTAAATAAGCTCTTATTATTAACTAAATATATTATTTTATAGCTATTTATAACCGTACTCTAAGAAAAGGGGTAAATACTACTTATAGGGGTATTAAAAATTACGTTTATTTTTAAATCCTAACTTTTTATAAATATAGTAACTATATAGCCCTCGTCCTAATTTATTAATAAGCCCGCTATAAGTTAGTTAAAAAATCCTTTTAAAAATCTAAGTTTCTTAGGGGTTCTATCGTTCTTTAACTAATTAGCTTTCTTAAGCTTATTATAAAATAATTTCTATTTACTTAATTTAATAATAATAAAGACTTTTTTTATATAGCTCCTTAATATTCGTATTAATAACTTATTAGTATTTTAGTTTATAAATACTTATTCTAATTTTTAATATATTATAGGGCGCTATAAGTATACGTAATTATAAAGGTATATAATATTATTTTTATTATTTATATCGTTAACTAAGTTAGAGCGTTTAATAAAAATAAAATAAGCCCCTTTTTAACTTAAAAGTTATTTAGTATATATATCCTAAGTTACTAAGCTAAATATATATATAATCTCTTTAAAGGTCCTTATATACGTTCTAAAAGTTATTAATTTACTAAAGGTCTTATATATACGTTAGCCCTATATAGGGTTAAGTCTAAATTTAATTATAATTAAAAAGTTAAGTACGGTAATCTTTTTATTAATTTCTAAAATATTATATATTTTAGTTTAAAAATAAGTAGATTATTACTCTTTATACTAATATTAGGGGTTAATTCCGGTCCTTATTTTATTAAAAACTTATTAATATTCCTTTCGAACCGCATTTTTTATTACTAATTCGGGGGGCATAAATTCTTATTTTAAATATTTAATAATTTACTATATACTAAACTTAGCGCCGTTTTTAATAGCTTTTTAAAATACGTATTTATATAGTATAATATTAATTAATTTTACTAATTACTAAGCGAGGACTTTAATATACGTATTAATAATATTATGTTTATAAGCTATAAGTTATTTATATTTAGTATTAAGCTCCTATTATTTTTAAATATTCTTAAGTATATAAATCCTTTTTATAAGTATAATATAAAAATAAATTTATTTATATAAAATAAGTAATATAACTAGCTTTATAAAAAGAAACCTAGCTTAGTTTTATAAATTACTTATATTTAAAAAAGTTAAAAGGTTCGTACTAAGAGTTATATTTAGAAACTATTAATAGAGGATTTCTTAGTTTCTTTAGTTATTTTTAAACGCTTTATAATAAGCTTAGTAAGCTCGTAGTTCTTTTTTATTACGGGTTATAACTAATTATTTAAATTTAAAAAGCGAAATAAATACTATAAAGAGGTTAAAAAATACGTTAGAGTTTAGAGCGTTTAGGTTAACGTATTTTTAAACTCTAATACTCTTATTTATAATATAAAATATATTAAATTATTTAATTTAATTATCGTAACTAATTAATTTAACTTAGGCTAAAGTAAGTATAAATAAGTTAGTTATTTTAAAAAAATCGTAAGAATCGTATTAATAAGTACGTTATTATAATATAAGGTCTTAATTAAGAGCTAGGCTTATAATTATTATAAATTATAGTACGTAGTAATAAATATATAGAATATAATAAAAGTAACTTAATTATTAAAATAGAAATAAATAAAAATAAAAGGTCTATATATACGATATCTAAAATAGACACGTGATTTAGTACGTAACGGGCACTTCGTAAGGTACGATTACTATCCCTATTACGTAATATGCTGCATACCCGGGCCGCCATCCCACACAAGAAACCCTTCGGTGGGATACTGCAGACCAGTAGTAGCATCACTGAGATGAAATTCCGGCTCTCCTCCTCGCATGGTGGAGGCAAGTTGATACAGGCGGAGAGTCTCCTTGGTCACGGCGTGTGTATACCGAAGGGAGCCGAGGAGCTGAGGTGACTTGCTCAGAATGTCAGCAGCTTGGTCGGGATCCAGACCCAGTACCTCGTCGTGTTCGGTGCGGACCTTGGCCATGCAGTCTGGGTTGTCCTGGAGAACCTTGAACATGAAGCACAGTGCACTGGCAGTTGTCTCATGGCCCGCAACAAGAAAGGTCTTCAGATTGCCCAAGATGGTGTCCATCATAAGTTGGTCGGTACCTAGTTGGGTCAATCCGGCGCCCACCTGCCTCTTCTGCTAAATGCATCAAAGCGAGATTGAGCACCGTCTTCTTCTTGGATGGTTTGAGACCGGTTTCCAGAGATCGTACAATATTGGGTTGAAGCTGGTGTTGAACAATGCGATTGTTACGATCCACGGCTTTGTTCTGCCATGGGAACAAGTAGCCGAAACTGAAGGCCTGTCTTATGCCCATGAGCCTCAACTGGTCAGCAAGTGCCATTCTGAGAGGGCCAGCAGTCGTATTTGTCTGCTCGTGGAGACGCTCATCCCTGGTAAGTATCCATCAGTCCTGACGATCCTCAAACAAGACGAATTAGCTCACTTACAAGACTGCGCGGACAATGATGTCAAAAGTGAGAGCCGTCGTCATGTTGCGGAGCTGAAACATGCGACCCCACGATCCATTAGAGCCGGCCTTTTGTTGCAAGTTATCCGCAAAGTCCTTAATCTCTTCGATAAGATCAGGAACCATTGACGAAACATTTCTCGAACTGAAGCCGGGGTTGAACCAGCCTCGCCATTTCTTCCACTCATCGCCTTGAAGGGTAGCGATGTCTAAGCCCTTGGTCAGCGGGTACATGAAGTCGAGGGAGATTTGATGCTTGTCAAGATTCTTCGTCTGGGTGAACTGTGCCGCAATGGTGTTTTTGTACGCAGCCACGATGGGTGCCTTCAACACAGGCCAGAGATCCAGATAAATGACTGGAGGGCAGTGGTCCATTTCCGGAAAGTATCTCTGGTAGTTATTGATGATCCATGGGTGGAAGGTACCAATATTGATGTCTCCTGGATACTCTTTGCGAAACCCAAACATGATGGGAAGATGGCCCATGATCCAAGAGTGAGGCAGCATTGGCTATGTGCGACGGTCAGCTTGATTGATTGGATCCGTAAATGTGGTGCACGTACGATCCCCAACGCTTTTACTTCTTTGAACTTTTTTCTGATAGTATAAGCCTTCCAGCCAATTTTCATAAGTCCAATCGCTGATAAAACGAGGGCAAGCTTTAAGAGCAGCGACAAGAGCGCCGCCGACGACCACATCGTCGTGAATCCCATCGTTGATTTGAGTCGAAATGAACAAAGTGCTTTGTAGAAAGGCTTAAGTGGGTAGTTTAGTTCATCTGACAATGATCAGTAATAGTCTATCCCCCCTTCGTGCAGAACCGGAGCGTGGAGTATATGTATGCCTTCTTTCTTCGTACTTAATTACCGAGCGCCTCCTGCCTCACGGGGCGTCCCAAAAGGGCAACATGTTTATATGCCCATTTGGGATCACGCCGTAAATCCAGGCGTTTGGAGATTGGTTCGTTCGATGGAGGTATCGAGTCAGGTTCTCCCTGGGCCATCCTTTATAGTTTGTGCCCATGCTTCGAAGCCGCCAATTGTGGGGAGTATAGCTGGAGATCAACAGTCAATGCTTGCAGAATATCTTCTTCGACGTTCCGAATCAGATATCGAACAAACGGCATCTTCTTCTTGCAATTATTATGTAAGTATGGTAACGAAAATACACTTGGCCAGGTGAGCTAGGTTCTATGCCTTCCGGCGCTGACTGATATGTTGGCTTACCTCATCGTCCGCAACATCAACTGTCAGTATGATACGATGTTTCGTTTATCGATAAAGCTTCTGCAATCATGAACCTTATACCCTGCGGCAGTCTAGTTGCCGCACTTGAATCCTCAGACTTCTTTCAATGAGCTTTCAAAATGGTATACTGCATCATGTCCAAAATTCTTAGAATTGATCAAACTGATGACTCAATGTTGGAAGTTGCAACTTTGAACCATGGATAGGGCTATCATTTTAATTACATCTACCATCCAACATGATATTTATAGAATAAAAGGCAAACTTGTCTATCGCTGTGCGAAAGTGGGTGTCTCCAAAACTAGCATTTTCAGCCCATCGTGGTTGCCAGAACAGCAGCTTGCTTTATGCCCATCAACTTTCTGATACCTATTAGTTGCTCGACTGCCCAAGATCGTACATTTGGTACATTTAGTTCTTCTTGGGAGACGATGTGCAACGGCCAGATCATGGAAGGTGCTCCTAGGATAGTTGTTAGCTTCATTTCCATAGTGCAGGGATTTTCGATATGATGTTGGTACTGACGTGGGGTACCAGATAGACTAGGTGTAGATGTACATATATCAGCAGAAAGACTGTGGATAACCGAGGTGCTGTGGAACCGCATTATCTCTTTGAGTTCGTTGTTCTCGAAGCTCTGTTTGTCGACATGGTTGAGAATAATACGGTTTGTCACTATCGTCAACGACCGCCAGTTGTTCCAGACTTGTGCTCCCCAAACACTGTTATACACATGTTCTCTCCCGTTGAAGTTATTTTCTTTCTTGGATGCATCTGCTTCAATCTCGTGGAACTTCCGATCAGATTGCGAGGATTTTGACGCCCAGGCGTTGAGATCACTGTCAATGTCCACCGCTATCCGGTAGATTGCGTTGGCGTCTGTTATTTGTTGTGTGTTCATGGCTGCAGAAAGGTTGACGAGCCTAAAGCCTAGTACTGCTAAGGACCCTGGACGTAGACTATTGTACTGTGTTCCTCGGCGGCTGGCTTCGAATTGCATGGTTATCTCCACAAGGGCAGGGGGTACGGGAACACCTCGATGCATACAGGCTTGGAGCTGCGGGGAACCGGCTCAGTAGGGTCCGCTCAATGACTTTACGTTTGGACTTACAATTTGCTGTCTGAATTGTATGTAGAGCTGTATTCCAAGCTCTCTTGTGAATTGGCCCTTGCCGCGAAGGTGCAACAGGGCTGTTGCGCCCTCAATATGCGCCGTCCACGCATGGCTATCATTCCAGCTTTCGAACATTATCGTCTGCTCAAGTTAGTCGTGGCTATTGAAGGAGAAGGGGTTTCAACCGTACAACAAATAGCCCAAGGAGAAGAATTGCCATGAGAGTTGTATCTGCTGTGGCTTGATCAGGGTCATACAGAGCCACATTAGTAGCTTTTAGTGCTTGTCCATACCGCTCCTTGGCTCGCAGCACTATTTTGGGGGCATTAGAGATGTTTGAGATAGCAGCCATGCCGACTGCTTGGATGCTATGTCGGACTAGGTTGTTAGAAGATTCTTCGTGATATGTCTTGGCAAGCCATGATTGGTACGAGTCACAGAACGGTGGTCCAGTAGTGGTGTAGTGGGTGAAGAAAAAGGTGGCCGCCCTATCTTCAATGTTGAGGCACAACGCGTAGTTGATTGGCAGATTCCTCGGCTTCGACGAGCTGCCAGCTTCATTTCCAATCTTCTTCCTGATTCGTTGGCGCTCGTCCCGAAAGACAAGGTCTGTCAAGTTCCGATAGCCGGGACAAGGCTTCTGTCCTTTCTCGCACTTGAGACATCCCGGTTTGCGTTGATCGCACTTTTCCAAAGCATATTAGAAGTAAAACTTACAAGCACAGGGAGGAGGTCATCGGGTTTCAAACACACGTGCCTTGACTTTGCGTTGACGGCATCGCTGGCAACCCTTACTCAGCGCGCCATAGTAAACCATGCTGCGGTGAAGGACTTCGGCTCAAGAAGACAACTCCGGGTCCGGCTCCCGGGTCTAAGGTAAGGTAAGATGAGAGGGCCTCCAGGCATGCAAACACCCTTGTGTCAGCTTCGTCAACTACCAACGAAAAGAGCGTTCCAGCCGAGGGGGTTGACTGAACTAAATGTCAGAAATTCCGTCGGCGGTTGCTGTCAGGCTCGATTTTCAAGGGGGATCGGACACGGACACGGGATTCTGAAGGATTCGAGACGGCTTACAAGCCACCAAAAGGTCATCGACCGGCAGCGGGTCGGCGGGGACAGCATCAGCTTCGCAGTCGTCGCCCTGATCGGGATTAGTGTGAGGTCTTTTGGCGTCGTTGATTGGCTCTGCTGTACTTGGTTATCCCTCTTTGGAAAGATGTTGGTGGGCCGTTCTCGGTAGCCTTTCGCCAATCATGGCAGACTTTGGTGCTCGTTCGTCAAACGCCCTCCTCAGATGTTGAGTTCGGCTTGAGCGCATGTGAGTTATAAAGATCAGGCTGGCCACATCAAATTTCCGCTGTTTATTTTGTGGAAAACACTGTCATATTATGTAGAAGCATATATAAACGTCTGATTCTATTCCTTTATAATTAATACCAGCTTTGGAGAATTCGCCACCATAATTTAGAGACAATGGCCGACGTCGCAACCGTCCCAACTCCAGCCCTGGTTGAGAAAACCTTCCGTGCCTACACAAAGGAGCAAGGCGCTACTTACGCCAAAGGCAGGCTGGGCTACGACCAAAGGATCTACAACTACATTTACGACCACCACGTCTCAACAGGCGGCCAAACAGACTCCCTTCTCGACATCGGCTGCGGCCCCGGCACCGTTGCCCGTGAGCTCAGCCCGCGCTTTACACGGACCATCGCCCTGGACCCGAGCGTGGGCATGATCGACGCTGCCCGGGCCCTGGGCGGGGTCACATCGGCCCCGGAGCCGATCCGCTTCGAGGTCTCCACCGCGGAGGAGCTCGGGTCCAACCTCTCCCCGCCCGTCGCCGACGCCAGCGTCGACCTCATCACAGCCGCTACCGCGGCGCACTGGTTCGATATGCCCGGCTTCTGGGCTGCCGCTGCCCGCGTGCTCAAGCCGGGCGGTTCCGTCGCCATCTGGACGAGCAGCTCAAAGTACATTCACCCATCCATGCCCAACGCCGCGAGCATGCAGCAGATCCTACAAGATTTCCGTGACGAGTATATCCAGCCGTACATGACTCCGGGTAACCTCATAGCGGAGAAGATGTACGAGACGCTACCGATGCCATGGGACCTCGAAACGCCGGTGGCGGAATTCGAAGAGAGCGCTTTCCTGCGCAAAGACTGGAATAAGGACGGCACAGTCGGACCGGACGGGGAGTTCTTCTTGGGTCAGCAGAAGCTGGGTCTAGATCACGTCGAAAGGTTCCTAGAGACGGTCAGCCCGGTGACGCGGTGGCGTGAGGCGCACCCCGATGATGTCGGAACGGATCGTGATGTAGTCAAGATGGCCGTTGGGAAACTCGCGAGTTTGCTCCACGAAGCAGGGATGGAGCCAGGGAAAGAAATCATCACCACTGGCGTTGCAGGGGCTCTAATTATGGTCAAAAAGAAGGAATAAAGCGGATTTGAGGAGGCGCGTAGAGGGTCCAGTCTCATCCAAGTCCGAGGTTCTGGGCCCGTCTGCGGGGCATGTGAATCATTGGTCAAATCGCGATGCGGCAAGCAGGCCATTCAGCGTTTACGCGGGTTACCTAAACCCCTGGATCGGTGGAGCAAACGGGCTTGTTTTCTCAAATGGGGGGGGGGGGGGGCCAAACGTTTGGATGACATTCGGTGATGCCAAGTGTTTGCTTGATTGTTTGTTTGCCGAATGATAGACAGCCGGCTCTTTGTTAATTGGCTGATTTGGGACTTGTGCGAGAGTGGATCTCTTTGGCTGCCCGATTTGGACGCTTTCGTGTTGGTTCCAACAAGCAGCATTCCTTCGGACGCTGAACCCGCTTGTACCGCTTCTAGAACTATTTAATCCTTCGATAATCATCCCGGACTTAGTCGGCGAAAGAGGAGTGCTTATGCCCCTCCCATCAGGCTGGCGCGCCTCGCAAAAAAACAACAAAAATGTTCTCCAACTTCCTTCCTGCACAAGCGCGCACTTCTCGATCTCAAACTCCACTAGCAATCATGACCCAAAAGCCGAATGTGGGCTCCACCACATCCGCCGCCCGAAGAAGCGTCATGGCGATGGACACTGGCCGGATTGATTGGAAGGAGGCTTTTCTGTTCTTCTACTGGGATGCGAAGAAACTCCGCACTCGCCCCAAGGAGGGCCACATTATCGATAGGTTGATTGTCGAGTTCTTCCAGCAAACGAGGCCGTCCATGGCGGATGAGGGCCCTGTTCTCAATTGGGATATGACCCTATTCAGACTTATGAATGCGCTACGCAGACAGCTCGGTAGGCAGAATTCGGTGTTATTTTCGACATGTACTCCTGCTGACATACGGTAGGTTTTGACACAACATCCGAGGTCACTCCTTCAACATACCTTTTTCTCGGCCAAATCGATCCTCGGGACGCTTGGAACCGACCGCCGTTTGTAGACTGGGTGCGCCTGGAAACTGAAACCCAACTTCTTTTCACCTACGCGAACAACACCATTACCCGCTTCCTCGATCACCTAGTCGTTGAAGCGTACGGGCGACAACACGCGCCATGGACGTTGTACAACCCGTATCTCAAAACGTTCCAAGAGGCCCATGACATTGAAAATTGGAGCGTTCCACTACCATTCGGATATGCTGCTGAGATGCTCTCGCACATCTCATGGCCAGAGGGTCCCCAGATCGCGGAAAGCGCTGGGCTAGTGCATTCCCAGAGCCACGAGATCCGTTTCGGCATCTCCGTCGGACCGACCCACCGCTCAGCCATACTTGCCTTCCCCACTGAAGAGCTAACGAACACACGGATAATGAATTTGACAAAGCGCTACTATACGGCTATGCTCCTCTGGGTGGGTGAGATGATCACGGGAGGGGCTATTGAATCACTCCCCGGCCTGCTGAACGACCAGTTCAAGGGCTGGTTGAAGGCGAATGACGACGAAGACAACGATGAGTCTCTGGCTGTGTCCAAGAGCCTTTGGGAAGCATACAGGAAGGTCGGCTTGCAACCATTGCATGGCGATGTGATCAGTGCCTCTAGCGGTTCATCGGGCCGCCCGTGGACTGATGGAACCTCTGAAAGTTTTGTCGAGGCGAAGAAGCCGGCTAGGAGTAGTTACTTTCAAGCTAATTAGCTGGGACGGTCCGTAATGTACATAATGCAGGCTCTTGTATATAGCTTCAAGCGGTGGCATGAAGAAAGCAACAGAGGGAGTACAAAGAAGGCAAGCACTGGAAACAACAACTACAAAGTAAGCCCTAAAGTACGCCCGTAATTACTCTCAAGGAAACTATTGAATTTTATGCAGATGCCATCGAATTGTGAGACTCGCTCTCTGCTGTGATTGAACTGAAGCGCAAAACATAGCCTAATTAGTGTTACTGAGGTCATTTGTACAGATCAATCGATTAGTCGAGACTAGAAAGGAGTTAGTGTGTCATCTAAGATCTTAATGTATTGTGCTAGGAAGTCTCTCCTCCCAAATCTCAGTCACGTATGACAGGCTTCAAGTAAACATTTAATGGCCCCTTTTCCCACAGAGTATAAATCTTTTGAGTCTCCATCCAAGCCTTGCTCTCCTCCGCCAGAACCATGTCAAAGTTCCAAAGCAGTCTCGCTAGCATGATCCGCATCTCTACGTACGCGAGGCTATAATGTCATATTAGCAGGTAGACAAAGTTGAGGAAAGTCAGGAGGCACTCACTTCCGTCCCAAGCAACTTCGAGGTCCAAGGTGGAACGGCTGTAACGCCTCTCTGCGATCAGAAGCATACTCCGGATCACCTAGGAACCTCTCCGGGTGGAAGAGGAAGGGGTTCTTGAAGTTTGCCTCGTTATGGTACATGGCCCACTGATGGACGGCAACAGTCGTCTACGAAGGTGAGGGATCTCGCATTAGCTGGGATACTCCTACAAGAGGACGGAACGGACCTCCGGCCCCCTCGGCAGAGGACAGCATATAACGAAAAACCCACCTTCTCTGGAAGAAACTCCCCGCGGATCATAGCTCCGCCTTCGGGCACCGTCCTAGGAAGACCAGTCGGCACAGGCGGATACAACCGCAGCGCTTCATCCAGGCACGCGAGCATGTACGTCAGTTTATTCACAGACTTGAGATCGACGTCCGACTCCCTGTCAAACGTCGTTCTGACTTCGTTCACTAGCTTCTGCATCTTTTCGGGGTTCTTCAAGAGGAGATACGTCACCCCCGAAAGCAGCGTCGCCGTAGTCTCGGAGCCCGCAATGATAATGATGCTCGCGTTGCCCTCGAGCTGTTGCAACGAAAGGTTCTGCGTCCATGTTATCATCTGATACAAAATATGATGGGAAAGGAACTAGACTCACCCACTCCTCCCTCTTCTTCAACAGCCCCTCCATCAAGTCCGCCCTCGGCCCTTCCCTCTCCGCCAACGCAATCCTCCTCTTCAACTTATCCATCGTCATAGCCTGATGCTCAAGGCGCCTGTTCCTCATTGCCTTGGTCGACATCACCGCCGTGATGAACCGGCTCAGTACCGAAAAGTGGTTCGCCGTCTGCAGTGCGACGCCCAACCGGATCATTTGGAAGATCGTCCTCACCCAGGGGTGTAGGTCCCCTCCCTCCAAACACCCAAACGGTTCCCCAAAGGCCAGGTCTCCGATGATGTCAAAGGTGCAGTAGTTGTACCATAGCGTCAGTTTCACCGGCTCCCCGACATCTGCCGTTCCCTTTTCACCAAGGTCCATCGCGGAAGAATCCCCGTCGCCCTCTTCATCTCGGTACGCCTTCTGAGCCGGAACATCTGCCAAATCTCGCAGCTTAGCGATAAAGATGTCAACATACTTCATGATCACGGGCTGCTGATCCCTCAAACTCCGATCGCTGAACCCGTGACTCAAAGTCCTCCTTAGCATAGCGTGTTCCGGGCCAGGTGCCGTGATGATATCCCTCGGCAGGTCCGCAATCGGCCTGTAAAACGTCTCCGACTTCTCAAACTCGAGCGGCGCCTGGCCGCCGCTTGCAACGCTCCCGGCACGGTGACCCATGATCTCCTTCCACGCTGCGGGGTCCGCATACGCCAGCTCATCCGGGGCGATACGCACCACGTCGCCATACTTTCTGTGGAGGTCAAGCATGTCGAAAGAGAGAGTGCCGCACCAGAGTCGGTAGCAGAATGTTGCGCGGGTTGCGCGCATGAGGATTGGGCCGGGAAAGCGGCGGAGGGGGTGGAAGAAGAGGTTATAGATGATGTACGAGACGATGTAAAGTATGGTCTATCCGGCGTCAGGAAAAGGAACTTGGAGAAAGCTCTTATTCTCGATAGAGTTACAAAGCTTGTCAATAAAAGAGCACAATACTTACGAAGGCGAAGCCAAGGCACGAAGCCTAGATCATGATGTTGATGATGGCCATGCTCCTAAAGCGGCACTTCGAATCAAGTCGGTTCAGGGCGGAAGATAGACACTTAAATTGAGAGCAAATGATCCGGATACTTACGAGACAACCTCAGATATTAAAGCTTCCGGACGAGCAAAACTTCATATAGACTTTCCCATTCGCCGCGCACCACGCATCCATGAACCCAACCAGCTCAGCCTGGATAAGTTCGTCATGCCGAGTACGAATCCCTGAACCGAAGCCATCGTGCAACGTTTCAATGGCCGAGAATATCTTGGTCATAGCTTGAGAAATTATCGTGGTCCTGAAGAGCAAATCAGACGGAAAAAGGGGGCACGAACCTTCCCGCAATTAACGTCGTGAGGGGTTCGGCAAGCGACCACACCTTTGGGACCGGGGAGAGCTGTCTATTCCTGCCGGTTCGTTTCAGACGGTAATCCCGGGTTGACGTTGCCATCGGCTTGTCTCTCCATTCCGAGATACGAGGGCTGGCGAATCGGTTGCCGTGCCGAACGAATGCGAACACGCAGAGAATCATGTCGTTGACGATGGCCGTTCAGATGCCAAGTACCCTCTCCGCGTCGCCAGCTTCTGGAGCCCAGTCACTTTGCAGTTACGGCGAAAATTATAGAAGCGCAACTCACAATCATGGTGGAAGATGAAGGTTAAAGGACTATGGCACAGACCTGAATGGGCCAAAGCCGCTGTGGCGAGGCAGATCACGCAACCTGGAAGGCTCCATGGTCTGCCTTTCCCTCAAATACGTTTGTAATGGGGTACACATATCCCAATAATTCAGCAGATTTTATCTTCGGACAGGCAATCAAGAGAAGCTATGTGACCTGCTCCAAGACCGGCGTACTTTTTGAAAGTCTTTCCAAAGGCTCTGGGTTCGATTCGCATATTTCCCCCTCTTCATGTTTCTCCCACCTACCAGCAAAAGCAAACCTCCTACGTCCTTGGGCCCCTAGCTCCTTTAATCCTTCTCCATCACATGAACTCATTTAATTAAGCGGTTTGTTCTTGAATATATGGATGCTCCTTATCTCCCTGATTCTCTTCACCTCGAGCCTTATTGAACCCAAGGTGTCGTTTTAACGAGACCGATGTGCTACGTGGACCGTCTTTAGAGTCTCTCTCAAGCACTCTGATCTGATGTACTTTCTCATCTCAAGATCACGATTGCAATTCACAGCCTATTTTGAAGCATGCAGAACCTTTCGCCTATGGCAATCTGGGGAGATTAACGACATGGCTGGTGGACGGCACAGAAGAGTGCAAGTGATCGAGAATGCAATCATCAAAACTCCATGAAGAAAAGCGCAACAAGTACGATATCCTCTAGCTAAGTCACAAGCATAAAGCAACTTATGGCTAGGTCGATAATCCTCAAGCGAACTATGGCGCAATTTATCGCCTCCCCATTCTCACAATGAGCAACTTCCCTCCATGAGCTAGAACATAATACAATGAGGAGATAACATGTCAAAGCGACCGACCGCAAGTGACGACGGTCCAAACGTTAATCGATGGCTTCTTGCTTGATGTTGACGATTGTGGGGCTGGTGAAGACCGGTTTTGCTGGCAAAGCTGGAAGAGACTTCTGAACAATGGTGCAATTTGCCCCTGTTGCAAAGCGGCTGCCATCTCCTTGAACCAGTGTCGTTTTGGTATGATCTCGCTTGACTTGATCCCGCTTAGCTTGCTTCTTCATCTTCCTCGAAAAAGCTGCCGGGTTTGGGGCATTTGGTAAAAGATTGATGCCCAACCTCTGCATCTTGGCCCTGACCGCGTTGTAGCCCTGACCTATGGAAATGCCTTGCGTCCCTGGGAACAGACCAGATGGTCTTCCGTATTCATACTCGGTACTTGGATCCCGAAGTAAGGCGACATTGGTCGAGTCTCGCGGCGACAAAGGTGCGGAGTAGTCATAAGTTCGCCAGTCGGGGTAACCTGGGATCAGCCCGTGGCCAATCATGCGGGCGAACTCCTTCGTATGAGGTAGCTGTATTCTAGGGCAGCCTTGTGCGGCCCAAACAGCTATCCAGCAAGTGGTCGCTAGAATGGGGGCCCTGTTCTGTCGACGCTGAACGAGATATAAGAATTGCAGGGCTCTCTTGGCCTTCTTCTTCGTCTCAAGCAGTTTGCTACAACTGGAAAAGATGTGGTCGCGTACATTGCATATTGGGCAAGCGGCTATGAAACCGTCAACATCCACCGGTCCGATACAGTCCTTAGCCTCGTGGCCTCCTCTGCAACAATTTGCGCACATCAAGCGTGGGGAGCTTGGATCAGAAATACCATCGTGCTGAATTGCTGGGCTCTTGTCTGCCTGCTGAGTGTACAAGCTTGGTACTTGAAGCATTCCTTGTTCTGCGGTGGCAGTCGTTTGGCCAGAGATAACACGCAAGGTCGAGTCGTCCACGCTGCATCTCAATTTCTTCTCCTCCTGTTCGGCTTTTCGAAATCCTGGAGCTTCATGGCGGTCTATGAAGCTCGTCTTGACGGTATGACTGGTGCCGGAAGTACTGTTCTGGATGGGGGGTGGTAGCCCTTTTGTGGGCAAGCTGGATGGCCTTACAGGAGCGAATGTCATCGAGGCCCAGGCAGAGCTAGCCCTTTGAAGGCCACCGCCGTATGATAGATGGGATTCGAGTAGGCGGCATCCATAAACGTAGTTGGTTGCGACACTGGGAGGCTGCGTTTGCCCGAAACCACCAGAAGTGGTGAGGTCAGCAACGGTGACCAAATTGCCAGCAATGGTGCCGATCGAGCAGCACGTGGGGAGTCGTCCATCGACAACACACACGATGTCATCGTATACTGTGTCAATAGAGATGTTGCCTTCAAACCAACCTTCGAAAGGAAGCCCGAGTCCTTTGACGAGATTACCAAAAATACGGTTGCTTTCCCAGTAACTGCATAGCGAAGCGTCGATGAGATAGACGTTTCCCATGACAAACTCTACGGTGAGACTCGAGGTTGATCGGTCGGCCTTCTTTGCATCGAAGTCATACACAACGAAGATGTTCGCTGCAGCGTTGGTGATCTTCAAGTTTCCATTGTGTGCGAAGGTGTCGCCGGCAGCTGGAGTCGGGAGATTGACGGGCGGAGGCATGATTTGACAGCTTCTAGGCAACGACGCAGCAGTAGACTCTGAATCTTGTCAGCAAGTGAAGAATCAGAGATGAAGAGGTTGGATGACGTACCTAGGAGAATACCAGACGTTGAATTAGAGGTCGGGATGATTGGAATTTGGGTGACTTGATGTCAGGTGCGAAGATTGCGTGCAGCGCTCGAACAGTTCGGTCGAGGAGGAGGGAGAAGGGAAAGAAATCAGTCGACTGGTTTGGAAGGCTTGGTGAATTGTGGAAAGGGTAAGAAGGGCCCTGAACCATGTGCTACCTCCTTCCTTATGCCGACATCGTGCCTTCCGCCCCTGACCGACACAGAAGCACCGGAGGCACACAGGCGCTGGGTTGCTTGAGTGGTGTTTTGAGTGAGGATCGAAACCCAACCGATTCGATGGCAGTTCTGTGATCTTTGCCAGGCAATCGTATTTCCCAGTCTGGCGTTACCTCCCGTAATCATCAGCAAATATGTTGTAGTCGAGAAGCAAAGAGGCTCGATAGAGTAAAGCTTTTCACAGCCAGCCGAACCATGCCCACTCCAAGTTTGCCGGGAAACCCAAGACGGAGGAGGAATCAGCCTACTATGGGATCGAGACTTGTATAGCCCCAGCTACTAGAATGTCAGAGACACAGAATCGAAGACGCAGGAATTGAAGCGACCGGCACAAGGCATTGAGCATCTGATTCCTCAAAGCCTATTCGTTTCAAAAATACCCATCAAAAGCTGGATCATCAATACAGTACTCTCTGGCCCGTCGTCCCGGGCTATGATACACAAATGAACAAAGACGACGGACCTTCTTTTTATGTAACCCAAAGAACTCTCCAGCATCCTCCAGTCAAATAGCTAAAACAATGCAAACCCGCTGAATGCTGATGGGATCCCTTCTTTTCGAATGCCGCCCCATGTTCCGGTAATTGTACACGCTTAAGAGGCGGAGCACACCGCAGCCCTTCTACCCCTTATATGCAAGATAGGCCCAAAACAAGACAACCATCCACACAACCCTCCATGTCGAGGCACCGATCTCGCGAGCGACACGCCCGATTGTCGTCCTCGACCGCTGAGACGCCGCTTTCCACGTCAAACGCGGCATGCCAGTTCCATACTCATCTGCAAAAATTTCGATCCGCGGCGCCCGGTGTGGCGCTCCCCATTGCTTCTTCAACTTGGTTCTTGGCGGCGGTGCTGGAGTAGCCCCGTTGGAGCGGATGGATCCGCTCCTAGTCCGGGATGACTGGCCGGTAAGGAATCGAGATCCGGAAGAGGCTGATGTCGAGTGCATGCTGTAAGTGCCATCATCTTCGACCTTGTCCTTGATGGTCGGCAATATGGCGCCCTGCGGCTGTTCGTCATGCAAAGCAAAGGGTGTCAAGTTCAGGACCGGCACGAGGAACGATCTTATGCTAATCGCAACGATGGTGACAAAGGCAAGCCCGGCATACTTCGCGTATGTCGCCAGCTGGTTCGGAAGCAGGCAAAGGTGTGTTTGCAACGTCTTTTTGGGTGCGCCAGGAAGGGGTTTGCCGTTGGCGTCAATCGGGTTGTACAAACTGACCATGAGGAAGCCAGGTGTAGGCACTCCCATGGCCATACTCATACTCTTCACGGTGATTTCGCGAACGTTGTCCTTTTCTGCCGAGTGGACAACTTCGCAGTAGTCGTGGTCATCGCCGGAGAACACTCCAACGATGTTGCCAACGCTCTTCACGAGCTTGACAGACTCGTCCTCGTTCAGCACGTTTTGGTATTGGTAACCGCCCGAGACAGAAATTGCATTTCGGTGGTCCATCATAGGCGCTTGCTCCCCCTTTGGAGGTTTCGTAGGAGGCCAGTGCTCTCGCAGCGGTCCGCAAGGCGTGCCCGGGTCTCGGTATAGAGGAACGTGGGTGAGAAGAATCGTAGGAAAATCGGGTCCTTCTTCTCCCGGCGCAATAGTCGGCACCTTGGCGTCTGCTGTTTCCAGCTCCTCCACGATATGATCTAGGGGCTCAACTTCCACTTCGCCCCTCCAGAAGCGCAACTCTCGCTCCACGGCCTTTCTCTTGGTAAACTTGACGTCCTTCAGGAATACGTCCGCAGGTGTATGGATCGCCTTCAAATCGACCTCGGCTTGCTTTGACGAAACGGCGCTCAGCGACAAGCTATCGACGGAGACGATGGAGTGGTTGCCAATGACATCGACACGATTCACGTCCCCAAAGTACGTGTTGAAGCGATCTCTCACAGAGCCCTTCACCTGGTCTCCAAAGCCAAGATCGTGGTTCCCTGGCAAGCTCGCCACCAACTTGCGTCCCCTTTGCCAGTCGCCGGCCCTGGAGCCGCCTAGCCCCCAGCTTCCAAAAAAGATGTCGCCAAAGCGCTCATATTCCTTCAACCAGTATTTCTGGCCATAATTATCGTTCCATCCCTTAACGTGATCTTTCTCGTTCTTCGGTCGTCGGTTGACAGCCCATTGAGGGTCCTTGAAGTCGCTGTGCGCAGTCTTCCACTCTCGGCCACCGTCGAAGAGGTCGCCCAGAAAGAAGAGGGAGTCAGGTCGTAGCTGCGATTGGAGCTGCCTGTAGCCTCTGCGGATGTAGTTGTCGGTGATGAGGACCGTCAGGTCTTCCAAGGGCCACGGACGGCCGGGGTAGGATTTCGGATCGGTGATTTGGGGGTCAGCAACGAAGACGAGGTGGTGTGGGCTCGATCCGGCCGGCTATCAAAGAATCAGCATTGTCGGTTCACAGCAACAGCGCGCAGCAATTGACCTACCCAGTTCTCCCAGTTGCTCCATTTGCATTCTGCGACTCGGCTCTGAAAGACCCAGCCCTCGCCCCAAAGGAGCACGATGCCCCAGAGGCACACCAGCAGGTGCGGGAAGCTCAGGAGGCGGCGCGCAGTGAGGTTCTGTCTCAACCGCCTGCCAGCCTGCCACATGATGCCGGTCGCCAATCGTCGGCCGCGGGTTTGCCAAAAGGCCCAAAGTGTTCTCAGTAGTCGTTGTAGGGCCGCGAGCAACGGTCTCAAACGGGCGCGGAAGCTGTCGTCATTGTAGTAATGTTGGAACGGGAGAGATGCAGACGCGGATGCAGGCTTCTTGGACCCCTTGTAGGCGTAGCCATTGCCGTTGCTGTAAGGCGGAGCCATGCTGCTGGTGCTTGGCTAGCCCGGGCTGCTGCCATTCCCCTGCAGCCCCGTGTCTGTATCCCTTACCTGATTTCCCACTTCCCCTGGGGCCCCCTCTGGAATGGATCAGTGCCGCAATCCCGACCAAACGTGCAAAGGTGGGCGAGCTTGCGTATGCCAGTGTCTGGTATGTGGGCGTGTGAGTGGCTCTTCGGGAGCTCGCGCGCGATCGTCGTCGGTAGCTTCGTTTGGAGATGGATTAATAGGTTATAATAGAGCCTCGCCTATGTATTCGTACGGAAATACACCGTTAGAGACGAGATGGTATTGCAGAACCCTTCAAAAAAAGAACCCGAATTAAGATAGTTAGAAAGAAAGCCGATGGTCTACCAGTGCACACAAGCTATTAGACGCCTGCAACGAAATGCCACGAAACGAAATAGTGATGTCTTGTCGCAACTGGGAAAAGGAGAAAGTCGACGCGTGGCGACAATCGAATCAATTCACGAATCGCGACGGGATTCATACAGGATGGCCCCGGCAATCCCCCCAGAAAGGAAGAAAAGCACCCCGCTAGACTGCTATTCGTAGAAGCCCCGAAGACCTTGATGCACTGGAAACGTCGCTGAACACGGCCCCACTTTGACAGCTTGAGGAAGCCCCACCCCCTTTTCCATAGGTACATAGGTACTCCATACTGCGTGCTGGCCAGCTTAACGTCCTTTGTCTTGTCCCGACTTAGTCAGCCGAGGAAACTTGCCCACACAAACAAAGCCTGGGCGGGCCGCTTCTTGGAGGGGCACGAGGGGTTCCCTGCCGTAGGAAAGAAACATCAGTCCAAGACGGAAAGCTTCTCGAACAGAGGATTCCTTGAGGGCCCCTTTCCCTCTGCACTTCCAGTGACACCAAGCTTCGAGGACGGATCGCATTGCCGCAGCGCCCCGGAATGCAGTGCCGACAACCTTGAAAATTGAGACATCTCGAGTGAGATCGTCAAGCAGGTTCTCAACACCACCAGTTCTGAAGGCTTCACATCAGTCCAGTCATCTCCCATCAACTAATCCTCGTCTAATCGTACAAGGATTCTGCTACTGTTCGGCAATATGAGGAAGTCGACGTTACCCTTCAAGATAGTTCCAGTCTTCGATCAGGAAGTGCAGCCAGACGTGTAAACGAAGCCATCACCACCACCCATCACGCACTTGCACCAGTCTCACCCCCTACACCCATCCATACAGCTCCCGATGGCGGATAATCAAGCCCAAAGCACACCAAAGCCACATACCGTGTCCCGACCATAACTTAGCCGGACCGAGACATCACCCGTCTCTCCCTTGCAAGTCTCCGAACCCTCCACCTTTCATCCACGCCCTCGGAGACAAGCGAGGAGGGGGGCACCTACTACAATACCATCCCCATGACCACCTAGAACGTCAACGGCTTATTCGTCCGGTTATCGAAGCGTTACCTACTGTTACGACGCCATCACCGGCTACATAGTGACCCGCTCCCAAAGTCATTCTGCCCTCCAAGTCAGGTTCCTGAACACGACCTTACCATCAAGAAGAGATCCATGGTTACGACGCATCACACGCAACCACATGCAATCATTGATATACACCGCCAGTTCGTAATAAAGGGAGACGAATGGGTGTGACAGCAAAAAGACACCCCCAACTTCTCTGGCACTAACCTCTTTCCCTAATGCTCAAGGTCCTGATGACTTCTCGGTCGACAGGCTCGTATCTTTCCACCAATGCTCCAGCTCAAAGACGATGGAGTTCTTTATGTGTGGTGTCGACATACACGTGGTAGTATCTAGGACGGTCTCCAGAGCTGGAAAGGCGGCAGTCACGCGTGGGCATGACACAGAAGGGTGTACCTGATGACGACTTCTGCGAGCGATATGGTATGGCATCACGCATACGTGGGGGGAGGAACGAGATTAGTAGAGCACGCGAGGCGGGTGAAACCAAGGTTCTCCCATTTCCCCGCCTGGCGATGCAAGATAAGGTGAGGCAGAGGCTCGGAGAGTCCGCGCCCACGAAGCCATTCTAGGAAATATGGAAGAAGCCTCCCGAGATTCTGGACTCCACCGTCTAACAATAGCCCATATTTAACGGTGCCATGAGAGTGGTGTACCGTCCATTGGGAAATGTCCTCCAGCCGACTGGTTTGGCGACAACCTCCCTGGCGTCTCTTTGACAAAACAGCCGAGGTCAAGGGTAGACAGAAGTACGGCCTTATATTGCACCCAAGGCTCAGCAGCCACTTTCCGCGCAGCTGACGAAAGCTTGCAGTCAAGTCTCGTGCTAGCTCTCCCGAAGCTATCTCGATGTCTACAAGCCGTTCTTTGTGTCAACCAGCTTTTAGCCTCTCTTACTTGAGGTGGGCGAGCCAGTAATGTGAAGATAGATTCGTTGAGAATAGGTCTTATCCGTATGCTTCGATGGATTGGCATGGCTCCTATCTACATAAATTTCTCCAGCAGATCACGAAGAAACATTGATATCAAGCAGATAGACAGGAAAAAAATGGATGATATGGTGTAATGAGTATCAAATAGCACCAGGAAGCACAGACTAAAAGACCCAGTTGAATGAGTCCTTGACTTCGAACTGAACGGAGTGTCTTGAAAACCGGGTTAGTCTGTTTTCATCATGCTTAATCTTGGACGACTCACTTGATATCAGCAGATGATGCGCCGATAAGGATCTTGAAGGTGCCCTCCTCGGCGACCCAGCCCGGGACCGAGGTGTCATAGTAGCCCACGGCATACTTGTCGAGGTGAATGGTGAGGTGCTTCGTTTCCCCAGCTTCTAGGAACACCTTCTCAAAAGCGACAAGCTCTTTCTCCGGGCGGGGTAGCCTGGACTTGTCATCCCGCACATAGATCTGCACAGCCTCGGAACCAGGTACCGAGCCAACATTGCTAATTGCAAAAATGACCTCGATTGTGCCCCGAGATGTGAGGGTCTTTGTGCTGATTGATGGACGGCCGTACTCGAAAGTGGTGTAGGAAAGACCGTGACCAAAGGGGAACAGCGGCTCGATTCTTGCTCGCTCGTAGTGGCGGTACCCAATGTATAGGCCTTCGCCGTAGTTGACCTTCAGGTTCTCGCCAGGCCAATTATTGTAAGCCGGAGTGTCCTGAATGCGCTTAGGGAAGGTTGACTCCCACGGTTGTCAGCACATATGCATATATGAGGAGCAAATGACTTACCGGAAGCTTTCCACTTGGGGATTTAATGCCGAACAAGACGTCGGCCAAGGCATTGCCGGCCTCTTGTCCCTGGTACCATCCCTGAATAATGGCCGGAACCTGGTCGACCCAAGGCATAGTCACAGGTGTACCGGACTGGTTGACGACAACAGTACGAGGGTTCGCTTTGACCACTGCTTCGATGAGCCGATCCTGACTACCGTCGGAAGGTAGATCCATAGTCTGCCTGTCGTAGCCCTCGGACTCCCACTCTGCATCCAAACCAACAATGACAACTGCTACGTCAGCCCCCTTAGCCGCATCCACGGCCTCCTGGAGGAAATCAACTTGGTCTTCTTCCTTGAAACCAATACGGCACCCTCCATACTTGTGCGTTATGCCAAACTGTTTCTGCTTCGCCACAGGGCGAAGCTCGTTGGTCATCTCGACTTTCAGCTCCACAGGCTTACCAGCCTCCATGTCGACGTCGACGAGATAGTCCACAGACCCATCAAACATGGCTTCCCCTTCCTCGGTCCAGTCCCAGAGATCCAGAGCAAGCTTTCCGTCCACATACAACTTGCCAGGACCAACGCTCATGAAGCTGACTGTATGCTTTCCAGTACTTTTTGGCGTAAGGTAAGTCGTCGCGACTGCTGACCACTCGGGACCAATCTCTGCTAGGGGTGCGGAATCCCATAGAAACAAATCCGTATTCACTCGTCGCTGCACAACAACCACTTCGCCTTTAAACTTGTCCCCAGAGTACCAATCGATGTTGACGCCGGGCTTGCCTGACTTTTCGGTACAGTACGGCGACGCTACTGGGAGCCATTTGTAAATGTGGCAGCCTTGAGCGAAAGTAACCTCTTGCTCAGAAGTTGCGCGGATACTGTCCAGTGGAAGTGTTCTGTAGTAAGGATTCAAGCTTGCACTTCCTCCTCCACCGGCAATAGCTCGGTTTGCGTTTGGCCCTATAACGGCAACTTTGGTTGTCTTGCGGTTCAAGGGAAGGACTGCGCCATCGTTCTTGAGAAGCGTCAGGCCCTCAGCCCCAGCAGTGCGGATCAGAAAGCGCGTCGACTCGCGATTGTCTTCTCTCTCTGGCAGTTCTGCTGACATATCATCGCCTTTAAGTCGCTCGACAAGCGTGAGGACGTTCTCCGCGGCGCGGTTGATGTCTTCTAGGGTCACTTTACCCTCATTCAAGGCCTCAATCACCTTGTCAAAACGCCAGTTTGGGGAGTAGGGGAACTCGACATCGCACCCTGCGATAATGGACTCTGCGGTCGAGTTTGTGCCGCCCCAGTCAGACACGACGGTTCTTAAAGAAAGTCAGCAAGCAGGAAGCATAAGGAAGGGAATGATCGAGTTTCTCTTACCCATCGTAACCCCACTCGCCTCTAAGAATATCCCTCAGTACGAGGTTGTGCATGTCTGCATGTACGCCGTTGACGAGATTGTATGAGGACATAAGAGCCCATGGATTCGCCTCTCGTACAGCAATCTCAAATGGTCGTAGATAAATCTCGCGCAAGGGACGTTCTTGGATTATAGAATCTATCGTCAGTCTGTGCGTCTCTTGCTCATTGCCAACGAAGTCTGTTAGATGTTAGAAAGATTGATTTCCTTAGGAAACCAATGCACAAACGCTTGATGGTTGCGGCCACGCCCTTATCCTGCAAGCCACGAACATACTGGGCAGCCAATTTGCCAGTCAGAAGAGGGTCCTCCGAGAAAGACTCGAAGTTACGCCCGCCCAAGGGATGCCGATGCATACAGACTGTCGGTGCCAGCAGAATGTTCGCAGATCTTGCTTTCGCCTCATCGGCAAGGTGTTGGCCAACCTCGTAGAGTAGGTCCTTGTTCCAGGTTGCCGCTAGGGAGACTCCGCAGGGGAAAAGAGCAGCCTACCAGAATTAGTTACTCAGTTGAGGACATGGTTGATAAGTGCGACAAACCTTGGTCCCGCCGACAAAGATACCACCACGGGCACCGTTTGGCCCATCTGATGTCTTCACTGACGGTATGCTCTTGGATGGTATAGCCTTTGTCCTCCAGAAATCTGCGGCGGTAAGCAGCGAGACCTATGTACTGTTAATGGAAGCACTCTGTTCCAAGGATGACTGTTTTGGCCATACCTTCTCTTCCAGGGTCAGCTGATCTAACTTCTTTCTTGCTGCAACTCTTGTGTCTCTCAAAAGTTGCTGGATCTTCTGTGGGGGACTGTATGGCGGAGAAAACACCGTGTTCGGCGTCGAGTTGCTCGTCTCGGTTTCGGGCGAAGAGATGGGTGCCTCAACATCGCGCCCCGCTTGACTGTCTGTCACGGTGCTCATCTCGATGAACGTTCCCAGCGCAATAGCTATGTGATTCTTTCTTGCCGGAGTCACTCTCAGCAGAGGCTAGTCTTTGAAGGGTATGGTAGAACAGGCGGCTGTGGGATAGAGCATACGCCAAATAGAAAATGGTGATGGACGTATGTAAGACTTATATGAGACCCGAAGTGCAGGCAAACCTCAAGCACGAAAGCTCACATGAGCCCGACATTTATCCGTCTTAATGAAAGATGGTCAATGAAGATGAGGCAATATGGGTCTAGTTGCAGAAGGAAGTAAAGAAACGGGGCTGATAACGAGAGCCACGGAAGGGGTGAGAAACGAAGTACAACCTAGCAGGATCTCGAAAGGTTGGGCAGACGTATGGGGACTAGTACATTCAAACGGAGGGGGACTTTCCCACGTACGTCTTTTAAACGGAAGCTTCAATGGCGACTTGTCAGCTGCTTGTGGACAATCCTCCGCCCAGCATCGATAGGAAACGGAGAGCCCGGTGGTGCATGGCAACATTGGCTGCCGGGATGGGGAGATTTCTCACCACCCAGGACAAGCGGGTTGGTGTCCAAATGTCTGCAAGTAAGGGTTACCACAACGCCGCCGATAACAAGCAAGGCCAATGTAGGATTTGAGCGCTTCAAGTCGAGTCACTTGACTTTATGACCAGCAGATGCTTTTCAATTCCCTGTCGAGCTGCTGTGCCATGCCAAACCATGCGCAAGCATTGCTGGTGAAAGGCAACGCCGTACTTTCTTTTCGCTGCCTTTTCTGGGCGATATGGGCTCTTTCGGTAAGAACGGACCGTTCGAGCGGTGGACGCAAGGCAGGTCGACGGGGAAGCAGTTGGAGTTCATGAGGGAGTGCGTTAAGTTAGCGGACAAATGACCGCAAGCAAATGACCAAGTGGGGTTACGCTACGGATACCTAGGTATTCTGCTTCACGTCAGCTTCCCCAAGGGGTGTGAGAATAGGGGGCTTGTTCTGGTAAGGTCCCCTGGTCAAGGACTCAAGACCGTTTCTTCCGAACCATTGTCCAGGCTACCATGCCTGCAACATCGCGAAGCATCCGCGAGAAAGTTGAGCCAAATGAGGCAAAGCGGTAGCCGGCAAATAGAACATTGCTTAATCAACAGGCACCCGAGTCTTGTAGTGCCATCGTGCTATCGATCTCGTTAGCATTCGGTGCATCGCTGCTGAGAGCTGCGTTCCGCCTGGTTGCATACGCAGGTCAAGGTTGTCAATCACAAATCCATGGCATGGAACGCAAGATTCAAGGAGGAACCAGGAGCTGCGCAACGTTTGGAACCCAAGATTGCAGTTCTTGATCTCAGCCAGTATCGAATCCATCTCACATAGAGCTGCACATGGGCGCTAAAAGAGTCTCCCGGCAGGCCGGAAGTTGTCGCCGCGTGGTCAAGGAATCCAGGGACGACGGACAGACTGGCCTTCGTTGCACTTGTCCGGGGAACCTGCGACCTAACGTCCCATGGCACTTGAAAGAAACCCGCCGTGGTGCAGACGGAGTATCGGAACCGACAGCGTTCCCAATTGGCCATTCCGTGCACCCGTTAGACGAAACCCCAACTGTCCGATTGGGAGCACGGGGCTAGGCTGACGGCCCCTGCTTCGCCGGAGAAGCACGAGGGGCTTACCATCATCGGTTGTGGATGATGGGCAAGTTCAATGCCCAGTGAACTTGTTCATACCGTAAAGGATCGGCGACTTGAACGCGTTGACGGTAAGAAATATAAAAGGTCGCATGTGTCCGCGTCAAATTTTTCCCAGTGGCAATAAAGTTCGGGGAAGGGGCGTCCAGTAGGATAGGGCGGACGTGAGCCTGAATAGCTGACAATAAGTTATCGAGATCCAGGGCGACCTGAGGCTAGGGATCATGATGAAGGAATCGAACGACGGCTCGGCGGCCCGTCCTACCTTTTAGTGAGCCGGATTGGCTGGCCGGAAAGACAAACTTGCATGGCGAGACTGGGGGAGGTGGGGTCCGGATTCCGAGTCCCAACAGGACGGCGTCTGGGTCGCTGCTGTTCCACTGACAGATCCCTGATCGCCGAGTTGCTTGCGGCTACTCTTGAGAAGCTTCCCCATCCGAATTAGGTAACTCGTCCTTTTCATAGAGAGGTAGGTTCCGACAGGCTCGGAGTCAAACGGATTCACGCTAACATACGATCTCTTCGTCGTTGATGCGAGAGGGGGATAGTCCAACGAAGTCAATCCCAAGGTGACGGCTGCAATGATACCTCGCAAGGTGTAGACTATTACCAGAAGCCAGGATTCTGTCGTTGCCTCCCGATATTCTAGCTATCGATGCGGATCGTTATTCCCAGGGAAGGCGGGGAATCATCTTTCCATGAACCGGATATCGAGCCAGATGGTTTTGTCTTTTGGTCTGAAGATCCCGGCTCGTAAGACGCCCGTCGAACTTTTCGATAATCGGGGAGGGTTGCGTCGGTGTAAGAACTGCAGTATAGTCGGATGCAGACCAGCCGTGCCTTGCCGACAACCATGGCGTTCCTGGACCAGCCGTATTAAAGCCATGGGATGCCCTGTTCCTGATGTGTAGTACTGACCCTGGCGCTAGATCGGGAATGGCTTCAATCAAGGGCCCCAGCAAAGGGCTATTCGGACAGTGCTTGCGTGTGGTGCATGACTGCGTTGCATCCGCACCTTGCAGAGGCCCGCCGTTAAGCAGCCTGTCACCTTAAGTAGGTAAAACAACAACGACCCGAAGAATCAGGCCATAAAGTTTGCGCAGTGTCCTTTCATTCCAGTACTTGATCGGCTGTCCATCTCAAAAAGGTCGTCGTTCGTCTCATGTGGTGCGACTCTGGACGGAAAGCGATGTACCCTGTCAAGACTCCATTCTCATTGGGACTTCACATGCGAATGGAAAGTGCCTGACTGTTGCGGAAGTCTCTCCGGGAAACTTTGCGGTTGCATATCGAGTGAGAGTCCCGCGGCGGTGCTGTAAACTATTTTGGTTTGTCTTGGCCAAGGTAGGGAAGCGGCGATGATTCTCGACAGGACGGTGTTGAACGAACGAGCAGTTTCGTCGACCCCAACCGTGATACGTCATGCTTTCCCATGTTAATTCGCAGCCATTTTTATGAAGCGGGTTGCGAAAGGCACGTCAGCTCGGGTACCTTACCTGAGGATAGATGGCTTTGGCACGGGAGTCACGGAGAAAATGCACCTGCATGGAGAGATGCGACCCTGAGTTCGGTTCGGAAGCACATGTGATCCGTGGAGTAGACGTACCGCCGACGTGAACAGAAAGTGCAGGAACACCCGTCGGAGGTTTTCTTATTGCGGCCGTACCTGAGCCTCGTCCCGTCCTCAACTCCTTGGTACGTCCCGTTCCATCACAAGATCTTAGGTCACCTCAACCCAAACAACAACCGTCAAACCCGCCGTAGCGGAACCGCCTGCCTCCACCGTCTTGGTTAACCATTTCTGTGTGGATGCTCCTGCCACTAGGTTGCAGATCTAGAAGTTGGAGAACAGTGGAGTGCGGGGAGGAGCTGCATTGTCCCCATCTCACTCCCTTGCTCAGTTCTAAGCTAGGTACGATGACCTTTCCAGAACATCCAAGGACAACGGCGAAATCTACGCGGGTCACATCTTTCAACTTCCTGTTCTCCGGAGGAATCAAGTAGACCGAGATGGGAGCAAGTTACCGCACGGCAGATAGTGCCGGTCGTTGGCTTCTACACACTGATTCAAGCATATTCTGGCTCAAACATCGAATCGTCTACCAAGCCACCGACCACTTAGCCATCCCTGTCTATCTAGTGGATCATTCGTTTTCATCGGCGACCATTTGCCCTATCTCTGTCGGCAAGTCAACGTCTGCCCCAATTCTCGTCCCTATCGCCGGCAGCCGCATTTAGTCGATATGTCGAGTGAGTTTGCCGCTCCCGACTGCCGTCTGCCCGGTGTCATCGCCGAGCTCAAACTGCTGGCCAGTTGAGCGTCAGGATGGGCACATTCATCTCTTGGTTCCTCCATGATGTTTAACAATTGTTCGTTATCTTTCGCGTCGATTATGACACCACAGGCCTCTTCTTATGGTACCTGAATTTGTTCGATCGCCTGCAATCCAACACATCCCACGACGACACTAGACAATACTTACACAACAAGGCTGCAATATAACCGGAGACTTATCAACATTGAACCCACGCAGCCAAGTCGGTGTTCCTGCATCTATTCAATAGTCTTCTTGTTGCTGCTCCGTTGGTCTTGGCAAGGTCTGGGCCGTTTTCAGCATCTGGTAGGACGAATACGTGACGCAAACCGCCGCCCCGTTTCTAGCAGAAGACATACACTATGCCGTCACAGGAGCCTCGCTCATCGGAGAACATCTCCGCTATCACATCGCAAGGGCCAACACGATATCACGAGAGGCGAAATGACGATGAACCAAACCAACATCGGCTAGAGACAGCTCTGAATGTTACTGGAAAAGACAAGGGCAGCACCGAGGCTTCAAGTGCGGAATCATCGGTCCAGAGCCCGCCGTCCTCTAGCAAAGAATGTGTCATTAAGCGGTTTTGGAGCAAACAAGTCAGCGTAGTAGTGGAGTTTGAGACTTGCCGCGACCACCTAGGTACGTTCTGTGCGTGTCCAGCTGCTCTTTACGCACGGTTTCGCATTAAGAGCACTTCAAGATTGAGTTCGGAAAACCCCTTCCGCATCTTCATAGCTCTGCTACTCCGTCCCGATCATACGGGAAGATGGTGGGATGTTACTGTTCCAGATCTTTTTGCACCGGATGATCAGTCAAGCAGCAGTCTGCACGGTTTAGTGACCCCCGACACCTCTCTACTATGCGTCCAGAATTCCCTTGAGATTGTCATTCCTGATCGTCCCATTCATCCCGAAAGTTTCTTTCCTCGATACCAGGACAGCAGACCCTGATCCTTGATACCTATCTCGCGGCCGTGGTCATCTGCCTTCCTCCGTTCCCTGCATGGCAATCTTTGCGTGGCCAGAAATTGCATATAGGCATCATCATGTCCAAAAAATTGTATAATGTCACATCCCCCCTCATCAACACTAAAACGGGTGTCTTCTCCCTGGGGTACAGACAAGGTCGCATTCCATACATGATGTTGCACTTGATGGGCCACTGATCATTTCGGATGGACCTACGGCAGCCAGTGTTACGCGAACTCTTACAGTCTCGTAATGTCGTGAACCAGACAGCCGTCTGGGCCGGAAGCTGTCCCGTCATCCCTATTTCACCAGTCTTACCTCCGTATTCGTTGGTCATGATCAATGGATTGCCAATAGCTAACAGAAATATCACCTGTCTCAAAGCGATCGAGCGAACGTTTCTAGGATACCTTCGCACATCACTAGCTACGGCTGTCCTAGGGACTATAGTAGCGCAGCTCTTCGCCTTGCAGGCGTCAGATACAGGCTTCGGATATACGGCCGTGGGTAAACCGCTCGCTACCTTGTGCTACAGCTTCTCGATCTGTATCGTTTTGCTGGGAGCGTTCCGAGCCTGGAGGCTCCAGCACGCCATGTTTGCTGGTAAGGCGTTAGCCGGAGGGTTCGAACTAACAACGCTCGCGTTGGGGTTCTTGATTGTATGTTACTCTGATACTATCACGCAATGTTTGCAATCTGCTAGTTGAAGTTCACCACTTTGCTAACGCTATCATAGCTGTCGTTAGTCTTCTTTGGCTTTCTAATTGCTCTCGATGTAGTCAAAGAGTCTTCGAGCTAGATGACGCCTCGGGATTACCTGCGAGCGTCAGGAAGTTGCAGTTATAGAAAACGACTGAGCGGAAATGGGGCTGATGCCAGTCGATTTTTCGTAGGGTTTTCAATAGGAAGGAAACTTCCACAGCCGGACGATTTAATGTTCCTTTTAGTACATTCAAGCTGGACAAGTATCCAGGGGCACCCATCCTCGATCCTCACGGCTTATTATCAAGTTGCTAATCGTCGTAGATGCAGGAACTAGCGAGACCAGCAGGTCCTCTTTGACCGTTTAGATATACATGGCTTCTCTTCTAAGTGACTTAGTGGCAGGTGTTCCAAAGTTTGATGGTTCGAAGCGTAAAGGAAGGGCAGGCAAGTCGAGATTGGCCGCCGTGCCGTGTCTTGGCGAGGATCAAGTGCCGTTCGTCATAGATGATCCACCAATTGAAGCCTCACTATTGCCCTTAGATAACGAAATGATCAATTCGTTGAGAGGCTATGTTATATACTTGAAGCATACAATCCATGGCCATTGACCAGTAATCGAGGTTGAACCAAACGCGCAGATGCATGTTGATCTGGAGGAGAAGGGCACAATTCCTGAGAGCCCAAGGTACCTAGGTCACTGGTGTATAGCAACTAGTGGAAGCTACCTTACTCTTGAAAAAGCATGACCTAATTACTATGTGTGCAAAGCCCACAGCTGGGAGAGACTCCCTGAAGTCGGGACGTGTCGGCCCCTCGGGTGGGTCACCGCCGACGTCTCCCGGGACCGAGTCGGACTTAAGTGGATACCACACCGTTGGTACCTAGCCCGAGCTGCCGCGATCCAGGCAGAAGCTCACGTGCCGATCAAGCGACCTCAAACTTTCCCGACTTTAAGTGACTACACTCTTCATCCTACCTTGCCTGCATATTAATGAAGATCTTTCATCCGGAAATTTCAAAGCCCCCCTCCCTCATCCGCCGTCCAGCTTCAATTCACGCAGCATCCAGAACTTTGTTTTCTTGGATACCCGAAGAAATCTGTCCTTTGGTTCGGCCTCTCGACGCCACTTTCTGGGATTATTTCTGCGACAGTGGGTAGCTACTATATACGTACTTAGGCTCAATGATAGAACCGCCCCATCTTGCAGAGGCTAATATCGGAATCTTCAGTATCTCGTCGTTATTCAGCTCAGTCGAGATCGACTGTAACACCGCACCAGTCCACCCATCCAATCTCATCTAACCATGAACCCCGCTCGTTCAAGCGGAGTCTTGAATGCAGGTGATCAAGCACCACCATCCCCTCCAGTCCACGAACACGCGGGCTCCACTCCGACGCCTCAGACTTTCGAGAGGCGTCAGGCAACAGAAAGTATGTGGATTTGAAACTCTAATCCATCCACGATGCATAATGAGAGTGTATTTGTCTGCTCGTGTGCAGTGGCTGATGGCAAGGGCTCCCCACTTCTAGGTTCCATTGACGTCGAACGCCAGTGCGGCGTCCTGCTGCCCGAGGGCCGTCGGTGTGGTGGCTCTCTGACGTGTAAGAAGCATTCTATGAGCTCGAAACGCGCGGTGGCGGGGAGGTCTGCGCCGTATGATCAGCTGCTTGTTACTTTCATGGAAAGGAGGAGAGCTGAGAGGGCTTTGGAAGAGGCGGTTTGAGGCCTTTGAGTGATGGTCTACTGTCAGTACGAGATGTCAGTTATGCGGGTGGTAGAGTGAGGTCTCTTCGAGCCGGTAGCAGATGAACATAGGGTTGATAAGTAAGGGAGTCTCACAGTTTTGTCGCTGCTCCTTGGGAGGTAGTAGGTTTCCCGACCAAAGGAGCAACGTCCGCCTTACCTTCCGGGCCGAACGCTGTTCTCAAAGTCTCGAGATGGCAGCTAAATAAAGACCATGGCTGATGATGGCGCCAGGACTGCATGCGAGGCTTGCCTGAACATTATCTATGCACTTTGGGAAACCATCGTGCAGCAAGACGGGGCACGTGAGGGGTTCCATGGTGGCGGTGTGCCACAATTTCGTACCAGAACCTTCGTTCTTTACTACGTTGAACTGCTGCAAAATCGGCCAGCTAAATTCACACCCAGTATACACGTTGAGGAGGTAGCCAGAGTAGGCATCGCACCGGCAGATGTCGAAAAGCTTAAGGGGGTTACGAGACGCCACTTCCACATTGTGTGCGACGCTACTAGGCGGAGGGCGGCATGGCTCGTGATCCACCGTGTTCGCGCGTGAGTACGTATCGGGACCCAGACTACGATATCGACCATAGCTGCTCTTATTCCGCGGAAACTGGCGTTTGGAGGATCCAGGAAGCGGATGGATGAGAACGTAGATCTGAGGAGGATGTCGAGCAGACCGAACCGCGAACAACATTCATCACTTTGCCTGCAGAAAGAGCAAGTCGAAGGTTTAGATCTATGCCGTTTGGAGTGAGTTCACAGTCTTCGGAATTGAGAAGTCGTATGGCATTGGAAAAACGAGAGTAGGGGCAAGGTCATTACAGAAGGAAGGAGTCAGGCGAGTAACTCAATGACCAAGAACGCATTAGCTAGACGGCCACTCCTAAAAGGGTACAGATACAGTTCACAAACTTCGCCCGCTACGCCAGAACGTCATGCTTCAAAGGACTTTTCACACAGCCAGCCTGCGCTGCCAATTCCTATCCCCCTTTCCTCGAGGCCCTCAACGAAGGTATGCGAAACCTGAGGGCCCACCTTCTGCGTTTACTCGTCGCTGTGTGTGCGTCTTGGGTTGGCGCAGTCATTGGCGACGTGCTTTATTCAATTGGGCAGCAAACTGTAGTTGTTGATGCCTCTGTAGAAGCTCCTCCCATACCCTGCGTCTCTCAAATTCTGTCCTTCTAGCAGTTTCTTGGTCGCCAGGGTCTAGCGCATGAATTAGGTTGTCCACTTCGTCGCGATGATATAGCTCTGCAAGTACTCGCTGGCGACTAAAAGCATCCGCAGAGGTCACTACGAGAGCGATTTGTAAGTAAATGATCATATCAACGTGCTAGAATATGAGCGAAGGAGGGCTACTTGAACTCACGATCGATGTTGGCCAGATCTTCGTGCGGCGGCAACTCAGCTGGACAATTCCCCTTGAGGCTTATGAGCAATAGCTCTGAATAGTCTTCGCTATAAGAAAGCTTGGACAGGAACTCTGATTCTGTGGAAAAAACGTCTAATCCAAACAAGAAGTCGTTGGTAAGCACAACATTCGTACACAAGTCTTCAAGAACGTAGAAGTCGCATTTCACGCTTTGTCGTGATGCAGCAAATGTCCAGTCTACCCCGCGGACTAGGCCACATGTGAAGGCTTCAGAACCATCAGCAAGCTCAAGATCAAGAAATTTCTGAAGATTCCTGTCGATGTTGAAGCCGCGGGAAATAGCATATGCTTTGGACATAACCATGACGTCTGATCCTGTATCAGGAAGGGCCTACAGGCTGTCCATCAATGAGACCATGGAGGCACCGCCTCTCATTCCCAACAAGGCGCAGGCCGAGCCGTTTGCCACCTTGACGAACAGCAGCGGTGATCCTGCTTTTATACTTCTTTAACGTCTCCGGTGCACGAAGGAAGGCGCCTGAGAGGACCAGATCATGAGAGATGTGCGGGAGAATGAAGCATGCCAGATTCGTCACTTTCTTGAAACTGAAGGGAACCTCTAGGCAGCCTGGAGACAAGACATCACCCCCGGTTGGCAACTGGATCAGTCGTTCTGTATGAGGTTTGGGCTCAAGACGCAATTTTTGAGCCAAGTGGGCTGAGATAATGTTGAACTGGGCCCCTGTATCGGGCAAGGCTTCTATGAACTCTGTCCCAGCCTTTGCTGCAATGCTGTATGTGCATCTGCCAGAAGACTTGGGAAGGTTGAGTGAGGAACTGGCTCGAGCAGCCATTGCCAGTGCTTGGTGGAAGGTCAAGACACTTCTTGGAAGACGAGACGGATTTAGTTTCCCTGAAAGTGCCAGCAGAGGCCGACTTTCTCTCGAAACGGCCCCGAGCCTGTTGGCCGGGACAGGCAATGTGTTCTCCAGCATCTCATTTAAGTCATTCTGACATTGTCAAGGATGAACTGTCCCGCGATGGGCTCCATCGAATCCGTCGCTATAACGAAAAGTCAATCACAGTGGCAGTCGGCCTAATCTGTATTGCACTCGCTGCAACTCTGCTCATCGGAACCATCGTCGGCTTTTCGTACGTGTCTAGCTGGTCAGCGAAAGTGGGCATGATATGTGCCTTTACCATCGCCTTTGCTTTGTGTGTAGGTCTGACAACGAATGCAAAACGAGGGGAGATTTTCGCGGGAACTGCAGCGTAAGAGACGCTCGTAACCTTCTAGCTTATGAACATCTTATTGACAATCGTACTCAGATACGCCGCTGTGCTGGTCGTTTTTGTTAGTAGCGGAGATCTATCAGGGAACCAGTGCTGTCAACCGCAGTGAGCCATGCCGCTGTCCGCGGTCTTTCATGCTCTCGTGTTCACAGCAGCGGTGTTTTCGGAGGATAGGTGAGAAGGTCTTCCGCGTTTCGATACAAATCGTGGAAAGACAGCACCGCTGACGAAAAACAAAAGTGTCTAAGCCCCAGAGAGAGTCGCGAAAAGGTTTAGTCGACGGGAACGAGCGGTAGAGTCCACAACGGCTCCCGGCTTGGCCGACCGGACGCGATGGGGGGATATCGCAGCCGGGGGTGACAAGGATGGGAAGCAGATGCTTGGGAGACTCGCAGGGCGAACAGGGTCGGCAACGAGAACGACTGACAGCTTCAGTCGTGGGGGCGAGATGTCGATTTTCTTGGGAATGGCGCCGAAATCGGGGCTGGCTGGGGTCATTGAGAAGATGCGTCAGTGATTCCCGAAAAGGAGGGATCAACGCATGACGAATTGACCTCAGACCCTGGGGATTGAGTCACTGGCAGACTGGGTGTTGGGGAATGGTCGGGTGTAACAGTGGTAAAGTGCCAGCCGATGATAAAAAAGCTCCGAGCCGATATTTCCCACCGTAACGGTACGGTGGTGCCCCGAACCGAATGGCGAGCTGGGCTGCGGTTGCACTTGAACGTCTCTGAAGAGCTGTAGGCGGTGGTGGTGGTGTTGCAGAAAATTGTCGGGACTCGGAAGGGAAGGCAAGACAAGTGCTGGAGTAAGACAGGCTGACTGGTGGCTGGCTGGCTGGCGAGAAGGAGCAAAAGGGAAGAGATACGTATTGTTCGCACTTGCCTCCGTTTAACAGTAGGTACCTTTACTTCGTCCGGGTACTTGGATACATCATACCTTACGAAGAAGCTGCGATGTGGGCAGGTGTGGTGGGGGAGTTCTTGACCTCATTCGGCCAATGAGAGGCTGATCGCAAGCCGCCCCCGTCAGCCCATCGCCCAAGAATGCGTGTAGAGAGACGGGACGTTGCTACTATACTGTTAGATAAAAACCCAGAAGCTTTGATAGTGCTGCATCATCACGGTCTAATCTGCAGCGTGGCTTTTCACTCTGCAAGCTTTCACAGATTTGGAGTATCGTTCCTATCCCTCGTCTAATCTCAGGCTGATCTCAGGCTGTAAGGCTTACGGGCATATGTGTGCATGTCCGAAGCTCGGTCTTTTTGTCACTGAGTTACGGTGGCGGTAGCGGCGATGGGGCCGGTGCTGAAGCGGAGGACCGATGCATTTCCGATGCACTCGGGGCTTCTTAGCCTGGCCTTGATTCAGAACTTGTCGCCCAGCTCGGGTACCTTGCGTTTGATGCTTCTGGTGCAGTCTACCTACCTCACCTTACATTAAGGCAGTCGCGAGCATGGAAAGCACCCTTCTCTTTGCTTCCATCACTCCTAAAATCTCTAGACCTCCCTGGGAAATGCCCCTTTTACCTCACTAAGGCAGAGCTGATGTTTCTGTCTGAGTTGACGGTGCCCTGAGATGCCATTTGCCCCCCCTTGCCCCATGCTCTTTGAGTCTTTCCCCTTCCCGTTCAGTTGGAGTCGCCCCCTGGTCCCTTTGCATCCATCTCATTTGTTTGGGTTTTGCGTGCTGCGAGCAGCCAACAGCAAGCACGTGTTATTCGTCTGTTGGGGAGAGAAATGGGTTCCATCCAAATTCGTATTGATACTTCGTACACCACCTAATAAGGCGAGGTAGAGAGAGACAATTACAACGAGTGGGTGGAAAAAAGGAAGGAAATCCCCATTCCGTCATGATACCCACCTACCTGACTTGGGAATACACCTAACTACCTCTACAAACCGTTCGCTGTTGGATTGCGCATTGTGCCATCGCCGCGTCCGACCGCGTCCCGGCTTTTTTCTCTATCTTTAACCCCCCTCCGACTATGACCCATCCCAATTAATTATCGGCATCCCGTACATCATCTGGAAAAGAAGAAACAAGACAGAGAGTGGCAGCAGTAGCTAGAGCAGTGGGCACTGAGCATCGACAAGCAAAGCAGCAAAGGAAGGAAGCAAGCAGGCAATTAATCAATGCAGAGCGAGATCGATATTATTCCCACCCCGTCAGGTCAAGATACAGCGTAGCGCCAAACTCAACTCGCGTCCTCACTCTGCCACTCTCCACTACTACACCCTCCCCAAAAACTCAATCTTTTTAACCCTCCCACTTCTGCGCAGCAGCACTCAAATATCATTCCGGCAACGCCCCTCCACCTTCCCTCTCTTCCTTCTTTTCCCCCTCCCCCCTTGTCCCCCGATCCGCCCATCTTCAACCAACAACGGGCAACGGCGACAAAAAGCGACCACAGCGACAACGACGTAACCTTCTATCACAACCTGCCCACTGGGCCAACCCGATACAGTCCGGGGCTCACAGAGCTCTTTTCTTCCTCTCCCTTCATCCTCCGCGACCAAACGACATTTGCCCATCATGGCGTGGTCCAAGTCGACGCGGATCAGCATCATGCTGGCCATCGATGTCGTCTTCTTTCTCGTCGAGTTGATTGTTGGCTTGGTCGTCAAGTCGCTGGCCCTGACTGCCGATGCCTTCCACATGGTGCGTTTGCTCCGATACTACCCTGCCGCGCCGCGTGCGACACATCGCTAATTCAAGTAGCTCAACGACATCATTTCTCTCTGTGTCGGACTCTGGGCCGTCGCCGTCGCAAGAAAGGCTACTACCGACAAGTACTCCTACGGTGTATGTCATCCCCCTCCCACTGATTGAAGACAACGTGGAGCTGACTTGAGTGTGCAGTGGTTGCGAGCCGAGATTCTCGGCGCCTTCTTCAATGCCGTCTTCCTCATCGCTCTCTGCGTCTCTATTATTCTCGAGGCCATTACCCGATTCTTTGACCCTCCCGAAATCGAAAACCCCGTCCTTATTCTCGTTGTTGGTGCATTCGGCCTTGCCTCCAACCTCGTCGGCTTCTTTGTCCTCGGCGGCCATGGCCACTCCCACGGCGGCGGCCACGATCACGATCACGGCGACGGCGAGCACGACCACGGACACGATCACCCCCACTCTGCAGAACACGCTGCCGAGGAAGGCCGCGCCCATGTCTCGCACGCTACGGACAACGATGGTGGCAACGTTGGCGATGTTCTTCCTGAAGCCATCGTCGCTAGAGCCTCCGCCGGTGCCAACCCTGAGACGCCCCGTCGCATTCGCTTCGATGGGGAGTCCGACCCGTCGGGCCGAGCCCAAAGCCGCACATCGGCCACCTCCAAGAGCCAGAACCGAAGAAACAGCTCGCGAAACCACTCGCGTCTCACTAGCATTGAAGACATTAGCATCTATCCTTCAAGCTTCCGCCAGGAAATCATTGACGCCAGCCGTTCTCAGCGTGACGGACAGGAATCGACCACGAGCGAGAGCGAGGTCGAGGAGACCGTCATCGAGGATGGCGAGCCTGATGAGCAGTCGCCTCTGCTCAAGTCTAAGGGCAACGACCACTCCTACATGATCGAGAACTCCCGTGGCCGATCCTCCCACAAGCATTCGAGACGCGAGTCCAGCCTTCACATCGACCACAACCACAACAAGGAGCGCAAGAAGGCCTCTGGCGGCCACGGCCACGACCACGGCGATATGGGAATGAACGCCATGGTTCTTCATGTCATTGGTGATGCTCTTGGTAACGTCGGTGTCATTGTCACCGCTCTTATCATCTGGCTGACCGATTGGCCTGGCCGTTTCTATGCCGATCCCGCTGTCTCTCTGTTCATTACTCTCATTATCCTCAAGTCCGCCATCCCCCTCACGAAGGCGACCTCCAAGGTCCTTCTCCAGGCTACCCCCGACAACATCGACCTTCAAGAGATCCGCGAGGACATTGAGAAGTTGGAAGGTGTCATCAGCTGCCACCACGTTCACGTCTGGCAACTCTCCGATACCAAGATTGTTGCCTCTCTTCACGTCCATGTCAACTTCCCAATCTCCGCCGAGAACGGCGAGAAGTACATGAAGCTTGCAAAGTCGGCCCGCAGATGTCTCCACGGCTTCGGCATTCACGCGGCCACCATCCAACCCGAATTTTGCGGTGATGACGAGCACCACAATGTCACTGAGCCTGAGCGCATTACTCAATACGATGGCACTGCCATTGCTGGCTCGCCAAAGCAGACTTGTCTGTTACAGTGCGTAGACAATTGCGAAGCAGGTGGCTGTTGTACCGAGTCTACAGCTGCTGGAAGTGTGCGCAGCCAGTCTACCCATAGCCATGACGGCCACGACCATGACCACGGCAACGGTCACAGCCACGACGACCATGGACACTCTCATTAATTCGGTTCGCGGCACAGCTCTCTCTAATACCACCTTTTCTCAATAGAGCGCGGCACATCTTGAATAGGGTCCATGGGGGTTTTCATTTTTCTTCATCGCAAGGGCGAGGCTTTGTGCTTTCTTATCCTGCTACTTGGAACTACCAAAAAGACTGGCGTTTATGGGACTGGGGCAAGACAGAGGTAAGGGTGAAAGTACTATCACGCACGTGAACCTAAGAAGGAAGGGGACAGCGACTCCCAATCCTGTTTTGGCAGAAGCAACTTGGTTACGGCTTACATCGGTGGGCCGCCCACGTTGCCTCCCCTTTCCATCCTTCGTTTCCTTTTTCAGTTATTTTCGGAGCGGTTGTGTCTTCCTTTTGTAGAATATCCCACTAGCTCTAATATCATCAAAGACGGCGCGATCCAGTCAGGATGTAGGGCGTGTACAACCAGCGAAGTCAAACAAGAAATACAAATTTCACAGTAAACCTTTTTACCCAGTTTGCATTCATAAAGTACGGGAACTTAACTCGTGTGGATTCGTTGTGAGCTTTTGGTCGATAATGCACCGGTTTTGCCGGGTGGCTTTCTACTTACCCACCTGCGAAAAAACCTTCGCAGGGCTTTCCGCGTCGGGAGACTCTCGGTATCCTCCCTTAGATATCACAGTATGACGGCGACATTCTGACGATACACGACTGTCAGAATTTGGCTCTGATTTATGCTCTGTCGCTAGGATACCTACAATTTCAACTGGCCATCTCGGAACTAGCCCACCACTCGCGGCGCAACCCCCACTATGCCCGTTTTCTGTCATGATTGCAGACGTTGAAACATTCTGCATTGTCGCATGGGGAAGTATGACGAGCGGGAAGAGAATACCATGCCTAGCGGAGCGGTTCATCCGCTCAGAAATTGTCCGCAGTCACACATGCAGTCTCGAGCATAAATACGTCAAGAGGACCGATGGGCAAATGAAGAGGCATACTAGACTGAGGGAGGTATCATTACGACTTTGAGGTTGGCTATTTCCTCCTCCTCGTCCCTCTCTCTTCCCTTCCGAAAGTGTTTCTTGTTTTATTAATACACAAAAAGCACGGCACGCTGGGGACGCTCGTCGCGATCCTTTTCTCGTGCCCCTATTCTTTTTTTAACCCCTCGCTGTGGTTTGCCACGTTTCACTTCCCCTAAAACCTAGTTGTAATGATAATGTATAATCCCGCCTAACCTCCGCTGTCTCAAGCCCTGGAAGAACGCCTAAAATGTAATGTGAATTCACGCAACCCCATTTCGGAAGCATGATAAGATGACTGTGAGGATGGGAGAAAGGAGCTGATTTGTGAGTTGAGGGCATGATAAGAGACGCATTGGCATTTCCTGCCGGCGACTCATATCTCTGGCTTCATCCCATGAGCAAGCGGCTTAAGACCGTTTATTTGGGCAGCGAACTGGAAGGCTTCTTGATGACAAGCTTTACCTTCTTTGGGGCAGGCTGACCTTCAACGGGAGGTGGTGATGCTTGCGGCGGAGGCTTCGGCGGTAGGGATGCCGGAACTGGTGGAGGAGGACTGGCCGCGGACGGTGCGCCAGGGAGAGGTTTGCGAGCCGGCTTCGCATTGATGCTCTCAGATGGGGGAGGGGCTGGTGATCCGGCGGGAGAAGCACGAACACTCAACGGTGTGCCAGGTCTGCGAATCTTTGACGGATCTCTGTAGGGCATCTGGTTTTTGACACCAAGTTTCTTCAGGATCTTCCTGAGGTTGGGATGCCGGAACTTGAACATCCTGCGCTTCTTAACCACAGTGCCGTCAGGTCGGACAGTAAGCTTCGCCTTCTTGAGAGCTGGCGATGCCTCATCAACCCCCGGGATCTTGTCGGGCCGAGGCCGCTTCTGCGATTTGCTGCTGCCGGGCTCGGGTGTTGGTTGAGGAGTAGAACGGCCATTTTGCTGCATGGACGACGACGATGACGCCGAAGACACCACAGATTTGGCGATGCCTGCCTTGACGATACCTGGCTTCACACTCGGCGGCCTTGACCCGGGGAGCTTTGAGAATGACGGCTTTGGGGTAGATGCCTTGGCATTCGAGTGCGCGACAATGGAGTCTGCCTCCCGAGGGATAGGGGACGGTGCGGCGCTTGGAACGGGAGACTGTGCAGCAGAGGCCGGCGATGGGCGAGAGGCCGTGGGAGCGGGGCGTGGAAGGGAGACCGTAGGCTTGCTGGGTTTGGCAACACCACTCTTCATATTGACGATGAGTCGTTTGGGTTCGGGCGGCCGAGATGGTACAACTACAGGAGCAGGCGCAGGTGCAGATACCGGTGCTGGTACTGGCGCCGGTGGTTCGGGCTCTTTGATCTTTTGCGGTATGCCCGTCTTGAAGAACGCCTTGAAGTTGATGATGTTCTGCGCGTTTGTTAGCAAAATAAACGACGAAATAGCCAACTCCAAATGAAAAACTGACTCTGCCAGGTTGACGCTGGACAGGACGATTAACTCTCCATCGTTTAGGATACTTCAAAGTAATCGTCCATCGGTCAGCAGCATCCACAATGGTGCCGCAAAGCTCCAGCAGCGTGATCTTCTCGGAACGCCCGATCAGGTTAGAATTGATAGCCTTCCAGAAAGCTCGCTCCAGTGCCGCTTCTTGCTCTGAAAACTGTTCTTCCATCTCTGTCCTCAAAGCCTCTAGTGCGACGTTGATATCCTGCTTTCGAGCAAATTCTTTTCGCCTCTTCTGCGTCTCTGCTTCCGTATTGTCCACAATCATGAGCCCGCCATCAGGAACAGCAGGTGCCACCTTGGCCTTCGACTGCTCTCCAAAGGCGAGGCTAGCCAGACCTGTACAGAAGATCTTGACGAGTTTATCCCGCACGAATGGAGACCGATCAGTGCTCATGACGGAAAGAATCAGGCGGAAGATAGGCAGATCCATCAAATAACCCAGATCCACCAGAGCCTCGAAAGCCTTGAGTCGAACCAAGTCGCACGTGTCATCCTGCAAGTACTGGACAAAGGCCACAGCACTTTTGGGAACCACTCCGGCTTTCATGAGTTTGCGTCTGCATTCGAGCGCGGTGGTCGTCCAGATGTTCTGGTAAGAGTTGGCCCATTCGTCCATCCTACGGAAGCGATCAATCTCGACGATAGCCTCCTTAAGGAAACCTCTCTCTTCGGCTGACATGTCCACCTCCATGGCATCGTCTGACTCCCGTCGCTTCTCTGGAATCAAGCTATGGGCGAGAGCCTCCAAAAGCTTGGCAACGTAGAAATGGTCCGAGTATGGGTTATTGGCATTGTTGTTGAACTGAACCTGATTCAGAAGGAACCGTCGTGCGGCTTCGGGACATCTACCGTTGGCATCGCGAATCTTTGCAATGGCCATAGGCAGTGCGCTCTGCACGGTGTACTGCTTCTTGTCGGAAAAGTCGTTTGGCCGAGGCATGGAGGTATCGGCATAGCAAAACATCTCGGTGAAGGCTTTCAGTAGATGGGTCATACCAGCCATTGAGACCTTATCCGCGGCGTGGTGATATAGCATCTCCGCAGCCATTGTCCTAATACCATGGAAGTATCGCCGGTCGACAAGGGTTCTGGTAAGAAACGTCGAAACCAGTGGATGAGGCGGACTCTTCTTGAGATAAAGCATCGAATCCTGCTGCGCCACGACATCCCTATCTTGCTGGAGCTGGGACACGTACATGTAGCTCTGGAGATTTGTCTTCATCTCGCAAGCCCATTCAAAGTCAGCGTCCATCCGAATCCACTCGTAAGACTCTTGGTCCATGGCCTTTTCGATCTCGGGCTCCCATTCGGAAAAATCCCACTTCCTCATATCTTCGGGGTTGGTCAGAACGTCGCCCAGGCAATATAAGAGTGCGTCTTCGTTATTGTCAGGGTCGGCAGCAGACTGTGCGCTGAGCTTTTCCGTTGCTCTCCTCTTCCTCTTCAATCGCTTGTACTTGGTGTTGTAAGGAATCTCGAACTTAGCGGCCTTAGCAGCATCCTCGCGAATCTCCACTATGTGCTCGTAAGGCGTTCCATCAGCTTCGTGAATTCTGATGGTCATGGGACCTGTAAAAAGACCGGCCTTTTCGTCCGTCTTGACACCATGCGCCTTTTCCTTGATGGCGCGAAGAAATTCTGATTTCTTCAGGAGCTCAGCTTCAGTCAGGGCTTTGTCCTGAACTTGTCTTATAGTCATCTCGACGCAGAGTCGCTTTTTGTTGAAACGTTGAAAAACGTCGAACCTGGGGCAGCCCGAGCCGTAAACCCATTGGTTCCAGAACGCCTCCAGTTTGTTCCTGGCATTCTTTTCGCAAACCCGCTGAAACGACTCCGTGTTGATAATCCATTCGCTCTGTCTGTCTCCGATGTTGGCCTTGTAAAGAATTCGGGAAATGATGCGTGTGAGGTTGGTCTGAGCAGGTGCTTTCATCAACCGCTTGTCGAGAATGAAGAGCACCAAGGGCGCCTTGAGTGCCATGAATTCCATCTCGAAATCTCCAATGTGCAGGAAATGGCCAAGTTCGTGCAGTGACGGTCGCTTGATATCAACTGTCACCAGCTTGTCTGACATTGTCTTCATCCGGAACCTGTAGTCGTTGTTGCCGCATAGTTTCTTCAGGAAAAGATCGGTCATGTAATAGGCGATGCCGATGACGACCCAAAGGTCTCTGCGAGTATTGGGGAAAAGGTTGATCCCACTCCACTGCGAGGCCAGGCTATACACCAATTGCCTTGTGACGTCTACCTCTAGGTCGATGATGTCCTCGGGGAACAGTAGGCGGGTGCTAACGAAGGAGAGTGATTGGAGGGCTACCGTATCTTCCACCATGTCATCGAGAAAGCACATCTTGTAGTTGTCGAATGGATATCGAGCAAACGTGAGGGTGAAGAAGTCAGCAGCCGCGGCGAGCGCTGCACACGTGTTCTGGACCTCTGCAGCTCTTCCCGGGAGGCAGTAGCCGTGAATCTTGAGCGCGCTAGCTCCGAGTTTCTCGTCGTTCTCTTCCGTGCGAAAATCTGAGAATAAGTCGACGTGCTCGAACGGACCGACCGCGAAGCCGATTTTCTGCACGGCAACTCGCTTCTCCATCTCGAAAGTCATAATCTTCTTCTGCTCGTCTTCAGGGTCGACGATCTCGTCTGACAAAATGCCAGAGCAAACGACTGTCATCTCTAGAAGCTTGTCTTCCTCGGTAAGGGCGAAGTCTCTGTCAGCCTTGGACTGGTTTGCCCCGCGATCGCGGTTGCCATTGGCATTACCATTCCTGTGTTGGGTAGCCAGTGGTTGCCAAAGTGCATCGCCCAGCGTCCTCGGACATTTGACAGCCATCGTCCACGTCGGAAGCGTGCCGGGATCGTCGATGCAGGGGAAGATACAAGAGGCAGTGCCTGGCTCGATGGAATGTCGAGTATAGGCATGCGGATATCGAAGATCTCCAGCATCAACGCCAACAAACTGAACGCCATCCCGCACGAGCTTGGTCTTGAAAGGTATCGTGACACGGTACTCCCTTGAACTAGTCAGTTCGCTCTCGGGGAGCTCCGCAGAATTTGGCGTCACGCTCGAAACGCGAATTTTGAGCGTCGGCCGTTTGGCAATTCCCGCTCCAGGTACCGGTTCCTCCTTAGCAGCTCCCTTGGTCTTCTTAAGATCCCTCAAACTGACTCGCAAGGCACCATCAGCGGGCGTACAGCCTACCAGCTCTCTATTCTCGGCAGGCACGTCGCTCCTTCGGGTGTGCATAAGGGGTCGCATCCGGATCTTCCTAAGGTCGTGATGCGAGGCGTTCCAGTCATAGTATTTCGGATAATCCAGTAACTTATACGGATCCGTGTACGTCGCTGACACCTTTTTAGGTGGCCCCAGGGGGTTCTGGTCCTTGAGGGCGGTGACCGTAATATTCTTAACGTCGATCTCGGACTGTCGCGCATCGATGGCGAACTCGTCAAGCTGGGCATTTCCGACCATGCCAAACGTGATGTGGGATTTTCCTTCGATTCGCTTAGCCCGAAAGTTGATCTCGAGCTCGACATCTTGTTTCAGGACGAAATACGGATAGGGTGGCTCGTCTTTCATAGGAGGGAGATCGTCTTCGGAATCGCTGCCGATGACCTCGTCAACGGCGGGGGCGGCCGCAGTGGCCTCGATGGCGCTCATGGTGGGCTCAGTTTGCGCTCCAGAGTATGACGTCGCAGTTTGGCATCAAGCAAAAAGCTCGAGTCGCTCGGTCGAACGCCCAGTCGTTTGTTTGATGAATTTGAGGTCCGGCGGATACGATCCAAAGAAGGTGCGCCGGCGCGAGATTCTCAGGTGCAGGATTGAACGAGGGCCACGATCATCCTGTCGCTGCGGTCGGCGTCGCAAAGGTAGGAAATCGGTCGTTAGAGGTCGTCGGAGGAAATTAAATGGAATAGGCGAAGGGCCGGCGGCAGCTGAGAATATTAACAATGCCGTTCTCCAACGGTACGACGGTACGACCAGCTGAGAGGTAAGAGGTTGAGAGAGGTTCTGCTGCGACCAAACACAAAATCTGAGGTCGGCAGCAGCTGGTGCAGTTCAGGCCTTCCAAGGTCAGCGCGTCCCACGGTTCGCCGCGACTGAGATGGAGCTGCCGGAGCCACCTTGGCTCCTGCGCCTGAGGTGCCTGCCCGTTGGGCGGGTCACGACTCCCGTCTACCTCGAGCTCGGTTATGTAAGCAGACCACTCCCCGAGGTGCCGCTCCACCTGTTGCTTGAGCCACCAAGCTCCTTCCCGAATCCGACCAGGTCCTTGAAAACAGAGCCGCCATATCATCGCCATTTCTTCCCTCTTTCTGGAAGGAAACCACAACTTATTACGCGACTTATAAGCGCCTACTTCCTGAGGCTAGCTACCTTAAGTAGCTGACGGAGGCATTTCACAATCACAAAGGGAGGGTGATATTGTTCATTTCGGCATCGACAATATGGGACAATTCGAACGCTTATTCTTGAGCCATGCTAACCCAACAGTCTACATATGATAATGTTACAACTAGACATTGCGCTACCCCGATGCAAGATAAGAAGCAGCCACAGCACACCAGGTATCGCACAGTCACAGCCCAACCTTGCAGCCGACTACCTCTCGTCAGGTTCGGCCACGGCGATCACGACGTCTTTTCCTCGCATGTACCCTCAGTGTCTCCTCATCACGCAACTCTTCAGGGAGATCGAAGTCGATCTCGGGTATCTCTGGTAACGGATGTCCCCATGCCACCACCTTACGGCCCGCACGCCTGTGCCGGTGCAAAGCGCTCTCACGCTCGTATCTCTTCTTGAAGAAGGATTTGAATTCTCGAGGGGGTTCAGGCTTTGGAGGGGGCCGTGGCTGTGGTGTCGCCCGTGGACGTTTCTTGCTATTCTTCGATCCTCTTGACCTTTCTGTGGCCTCTTCACGAATCTGTTTGGTAACAGAATCATTATCATCATCAGAACCTGGGGGGTCACCGTCGCTGATATCGCCAGTCTCGTCATCCCCTTCGACATCGTCCTCACTGCTTTCGGAGTCTGCGGATGAATCCTCGTCCCCGCTTGATGACTCTTCTGCTTCAGCTTTCTCGGCGAGAGCGCGGTCCTTCTCCGCCTTGCGGCGCTTCTCTTCTAAGCTCCACTGGCGGAACTTGTCGAGGATGGCTTGGCAGCCCTTGACAAAGTGCTGCCGTGCTGGCTCGAATTGCTTTTTTCGCGTCTCTGTTATACCACTCACGCCCATGACTCGGAGCCAGTCGTGACCCTGGAGACCATCTAGGAGGCGCGCAATCTGGTCTTTCTCATGCTGAGCTCGTCCCCGTTCGGTATTGCGAATGGACTTTTCCAGCCTTTCCGCTCTCTTGTGGGAAGATATAAAGGATGCATCAGGAAGAGGATCTTCAACAGGTTCTCGCTTTTGCGAGATGCCCAAGAAATCAAAGTCTATCCGCTGGGCATCGACAAGCTCGTCAAATAGAGCATCGCCGTATCCACGCACAGGAACATTGTGCCCAGCAGTCGAGTTTGCTAAGCCATCAAGTCCTGCACTAGGGTCTGGCGTCGCGCCTAGATTTCGGTGCCACAGGACTGGATGAGGGCGTGTGGGGTACGAGTCAAAAATGACTATCGGGGTATCGAAGGTGAAAAGCTCTGAAGGGGAAATCGTCAGTAAGTGTACAAGGATGTGTTTGCTCGGTCTCTGGGAGCAGAAGACAACTTCAAGGGAACTGGGGGCGTACGCTGTTCTTTAGGTTCATTGCCGATAACCTCGTCATACTCGGGGAAATACGCAGACAGCTCGCTCTTGAAGCGAGTGGCTTCTTGAGAGCGCAGTTTGCGGCCCCCCTCCTTTGTGTGGGTATCGACCTCGCGGGGCTGCAGGCGATCCAGCTCGTGTTTAATCCCATTAATGACCTTTTCCTGATGCTTGGTCAACTGGGCAGCATTTTTGTTCGCAGCAGCAGCGGCTGGATTCGGAGGATGCACCGTCGCGACGTTTTGCGGTGCGGGTTTCGGCGTGGGTTTTGCTAGGGGTGCAACCACCTGAGGCTTCGTGGCCGCGGTCGTGGTCGTGGTCGGATGCGGAGTCGGGGTGACGTTTGCCGTGGGCGTCGCGTTGGCGACAGCAGGCTTGCTCGATAACAAAGCAGGGCGAATGAGGATTTCGATGCTCGTTCGTGGTCGCTTGGGTTTCTGGTGTTCAAAATCGACGATATGATCGGTCTGGTCGAGCTGTCGCTTGGTGCGACCGGACAGCGTGTGCTGGTAGCTGGAGATGTTTTGGGGGGTGGCAGCGGCGCGCGTCACAGTGTTCGTGTTGGCAGCGGCGAAGGCCTGGACGGGATGGTGAAGGGGATGGGGGTGAAGCTGCTGCTGGACGAGGCCTTCAGTGTTGGTCCTCCGGGTGGAGCGCGTAACGGAGGCCATTGGCGACGATTGAATAGCCATTCATTGTTCTCTGGTTGATTCTTCGCGATGGCGATTGATGGTGACGATTGATGAATTTTTTTTCCCTCCCGCTTGGTCTCCCTCGGTCGCAGAGTCACGGTCGGGTGTCGTCGTCGTCGATTGCGATGCGGGAAGGGCAGGCAGGCAGCGAGTGGTCTTCTGGCCCAGATTTGGGGGGTGTGGCACGGGTGGTTTGCTCCAAAGGTGCTTTCCTCGGGCTGTCTGGTCGCCTCCTTCTGCACTGTCTTTTACTGGGCGTACCTATCTCACGCTGGCAAGTGCCTGCCCAGTGTTTGCGTCCACCACGGGAATGCCTGCCTCTGCTGAATGCAGCGGGCAGCCGCTGAGGCCGCTGTGGGTGGGTTCCCTATCGGCGGTTCCGAAGGAGGGGGAGAAGGGAGTCTTTGGTCGAGGTACATCTCATTTCTGCTGAACCTTGGGCGAAACCTATGTACCGTCACTTGCCCTCCCTCCCGCTTTTAGAGGTGACAGAAATCCTGACATCAGCAAGCTCCTTGACTCTTTTCCCACTTTCCTGCCAGAAGTCACCCCTGATTCCCCTTGCCATACTCCGTAAGCAGATGTCAATGCATTGGGTTGAACGAAAACCAATAATTAGAAAGCCAGGTGCCACTAGTCTATCTGCCAGAACATCGGCAGCAGCATGTTGTTCAGTGTACGGATACAGATTGCTCCTTGTGGTTTAAGCAAACGCGTCGCAATTACATCATAGTGCAGAGTCGCGTTCTTTGCCGTTCGTAAACAGAAAATACATTGAAACGATTTCTGGCACCGATACAATTTGTAGTAGCCCATATTGCTATTCCGCAAAAAGAAGATTTACGAACCTACAACTGCGGTAGACACTCCGGTCCCCTGTTGTCAAAATATAGGAAATGTTGTAGAGTAAACAGACGGCAAATATAGGACGTGAAAGGGGTTTAAACCTAACATAGGATTTATCCATTCATCAATAGCTTCGGTTGAGTCTCTTTGCCTGTTTACTCACCATGAGGTGTCTGCATGCATTCCAGCGAGTAGACTTGTCAGGGAAAACTGTTGTCTAAACGAACCAGTTGACAAAAAGGCTTCATCTCGCGAAGGTCGTGTAACACGTCAATATCTGTCACGTAACAGGGATAGTAACCGCATCTCACGAAGTGCCCGTCACGTGCTGAATCACGTGTCTATCTCAGACATCGTGTATATAGACCTTTTCCTTTTGTCTATTTCTACTTTAATATGTTAAGCCACTTTTACCACACTCCGTATGCCCATTGCTGCGTGCCATAACTCGTGACAGT